ATACACCACTTGCCATTAGTGATAACAAGCCTACATGTACCAGATCAGTCTTTTCTTTGTACCATCAATGAACTTACAGACCATGGAATACAGACATGTACATGTACTTTCATCCATGCGTGGTCAGGATGTAGAAAAGATAAAAGTGCTACCGGTAGTACATGTACATGTACACAATGCGCTCTTGAAAATATTGTTTTAGGATTTGTTTCATTTATTTAGCTATTTTTTTATTTCGCCTGGGAAATCCAGGTACTGTATGTACATGTACTGTACATGTGTATCAGTCTGACAGTGTGAGGATTATAATTTATACATGTACATGTAGATTGAAATGTACAAGTCTCTATTGTGCAGGTGTATTAAAAGCAGGTGCACAGTGAACTGTAACTTGATGTTGAGTACATGTACAGTACATACTGTACACGTGTATACAGTGTACATATACATGTACGCTTAAGTATACTGTACATATGGTACACGTCCCCATTTTCCTCCTGTGTACCTGTACATCATGTACATGTACATATCTACACAGTAGATTAACTGTGCAATTGCTGTATGTATGTACATGTATCTATATATTTACATTGTACTGGTACATTGTACTTTGTAACTTGTTTGCTACATGTACATGATCACAGTGCTGTGAATCGACATGTACATGTACATGTTCAGGTTGTGCTAGAAGTCAGTAACCTTTGATGTGTTCTATTAGTATTGTGCAGCTTATACCATGTAGCTCTATGCTTATACTCAGACCATTGGCCAGCATAAAGGGCAGTGGATGATGTGGATCTCAAAGAAATACACTACTTGTATCAAAGGTGCATTGTCTGCTAATCCTGCCCAGCAAAATAGAGAGCCCAGGGGTTCGTGGGAAGAAGAGCTGCCAATTTTTGGGAAGAGTGAGCATTGGTGATGGTGCATGTGAGTGAAGCTCTAATGGCATGAGGTTTGGAGATGCCTAAAGAACCCCAAATTTGTTGGTTTCTAGACACTTTGGGGTTTTATCTCTAAGGTAATTTCTGACCACTTCAATCAATTATTAAGCTGAAGATCATCATTATTCTGGGCTGTGAAATCAAACATACATGAAGGCCATACATGTACTTGCACTGACTTAATCTTTTTGGTTTTTTTGTTACTATGTTAGGATGAGAAATCTCCTGTGGGTACGAAAGCATGAGAATAACCTGAAATGCCTGAGTCACATGCTCAGTGTGTGAGAATTGGCAGCCCTGCAAAATGTCCCGAAGTTGGCTGTATATATTCCACATGTTTACAATTTTCACGGACCCCGGGCACATACAGTACATGATACATGTACATCTACAACATACATGTACATGTACGTACATACATGTGTACATGTACGTACATATATGTGTACAAGTACATGTACATGTTCATGTACAGTGTACATGTATGTATACACATGTACATGTACATGTCAATAAGATCATAGTTGGCAGGTTCCTCAAAATAGTCATGGCTGATATCTGGAACAATGATGACCGTGTCCATCTTCCAAAGTCTCAAACACCAGCATTTTTGACAGACATGAACAACCTGTTGAAATCCTAGCCAATAAAATTTACCGAAGACTGATAATCCCTGCGGTCATTTTACACAGATTTATATGTGGTGAAAGATGATAATATTTACACATATTAAAACCATTATCAAGGAATTAAAAAATACTTCTTACAATTTATCGGGTCCCGAAGTCAGCAGTCGCAAACGTCATTCTATTCTGTCGAAAAAATTGACTGCAACAAACAGCGAGTAAAATCTAAATCTTGTACAACACAAGCTTTAAAAAAGTGAAAAAAAGCACCCCCAAACCATCATTTACGACTGGACTGATCACATTATCTTCAAGCACATTTCTGAAAACCGCAGTTCAAAATACTGATCGTGACGATTGTGCAGCTTCTGTCACTATCTTACAGTGACATTAGAAAAACATTTTGCTGCATCATGGGCTGTTTGACCTTTGACATCAATCCAGATAGTGCATCCTCTTTTTCATTTGATATTCATGAGCCCCTCCACGGAATGGCATGGCACTACATGTGACAGCATTTTCGGCATTCTCAAACATCGTGCATTTTTTGTCAAAATTCTTGAGCGTCATCAAAAATCCGTCAAATATGAAGTTCGGAACAAACATGTTGTACTCATTGTACATTTTTGATGCAGCTAAACTTAAAGATTACTTTCGGTGATTGAAAGGTATAAGACCTGGCAGATATGTTTGTATAGTGAGAGTGATTAGAAACGGTAAGAGAATGAAGAGAGCCAAACTTTTCTCATCATTTTCCGTCAATTTTGTGCTCTTTTTTATGGCTTATATTATTTTAAAGTTATTTCTTAGGTGCTTTAAAATACATCTGTTGAAAAAATTATATATACTTAATTTTCCTTGTTGAGAGAGGTTTTGAAATCAAGTCCTCTGGTGGAAATACTTTGACATAAAATTTTAAAAGAATGCAACTCCATTTGATTTGCACTGGTAGCCAAAACTAAATGTCCACCAAATGTACACATGCCTAATTATCCCCAAATAATCATTTTTATGAATCTGAAGGTGCTAATTTGTATTTGACATGATCAAAGTCACTCTTTTAGAAGTTTTGAAAAATGACATGCGGAGTGGCATTTTGGTCATCTTATGAAGAACATACCAGTTGCAAGTACACATGCACATACCGGTATGTACATGTACTTTGCAGGCCTACAGCCATTTTCCCACATTTTAACATAACATTTACTATTGTACCATATAGTTCAGCAGTGTCATCTTTCATGTGTCTGTGTGGTGCTGTCTAGTCTGTATACAATATACATATATGTATACTCTCACTGTGTGTAAGTTGCCATACATTTTTGAAGAGCTCCTGGTCTCCATAGCAATGGTTGCCATGTACTTGTAAGGGGTTGACTTGGCAAGTGAGCCAATGTTTTAGATGAATTTTTTTAATTCCTGCATCTTTCTAAGGTTTCACATTACCAGTATGCTTGTTTTACCGGTATGTCCTGGTATGCAAGGGAACATTTTCAGCAAGTGCACATGATTTTTGTGACATTTACTTGTGAAGAATGGAAACTGCTTTATGAACGTGCCTCTATTTTGGGCACCTCAAAGTGTAATGAAAAGGTAAGCCAAATTTTGGAAAATGAAGAAATACTAGTACTTCAAACCTACCAGAAGCACAGTATACACTGTACACGTACATGTACACTGTATAAATGTCTACATGTACATCAGTGTTCATTGTAATGTACGTGTACATGTAAACATGAATCTTGATATGAAGGTACATGTAATTAGCTTTAAAATTTGTAGGATACTACATGTACATGCACATGTAGGTAACAGTGTCATTTTCCATTCAGTTTGTCCACCAAAAATAGTAGCCCTTTGTAAACATTTGTTGTCTCTTTTTTTTTTAAGACTAAACAATTCATTATAATTTTAAAGAAAGGTACATACATGTATGTATGCATGGAATATGCTGTCCCCGATTTTGCTGTGAATTCATAGGCCGAGACAATAAGGTTGCCACATAGACGAGTTACATGTATTTGACAACATTGATCATCTCCATACAGAAATTAATGTGCAAACCAAGCGAGTAATTCATGTTCTTAATTATTGTACATTGTATTGCAGGCTTAATTTTATTGTGATGTGGACGTTTTATATCACTCTTATCTTTTGTGTCAACAGTGATGATGGTTGCCATGGTAGCCAAATCATCTTGAGAAAGACACAGCTTGTGCTCAGTGAACCCTGTTGGGGTCTAATACCGTACACGTATACCATGTGTAGTCATAATAAGTCTAAATACAAAATGGGATACTTCATAATCAGACCAGCCGGTTTTGATCATATCGGTGGTTGGCTTGAGTCCTCTACCCGACAGTTGCCACGACAACCTGTCAATCCATTAATAGAGAGTCCACCCATGAGTGGACGTTTCATTCATTCTCAGTTGCCTGTAAAGGTCCATTGTCTTTACTAGGACTGTATTGGATACCGATACTAATTTAAAAGGGGAAATTTTGGAAACAATCAGCCAAGTATTGATTTTTTCTTTGAAGATTGAACTACTGCTGTTAAAGCATGCCAACAGGTGCATACCCACAGGTACTGTACATGTACTTAAAAGCAGTGGTAATGTACATGTACATGTGCGCGTACATGTACGTGTACAATGTACCGGTACATGTACAACATTTGCATCTTGTACCAGCATATGGTACCGTTCCTATAGGTACCGGTATGGTATTAAAATATTTACATGTTCCATTCTGAATGTACTCTGTATGTAGAAACCTTTTTGCATGTAAGTTACTGGCTACATTTGAAAGTGTACAGTACCAAAAATGTGCTACATGTATATGTAAACTGCGTCCAAAGCACTATCTATCCACTCACCCAAATACCAAAGTTTCAGAGAACTTTTGATGTGCATGTACGGTACATCTCCAACCACAAAAATATAGTACCAATTTGAAAGAAAATCTTTGACTGTCATCTTTGACTGTGGTCTTTGCACATGTACTGTCATGTGGTCAAGAATCTGTTGAGGGAAGACAGTAAACCATTTTTAGGTCCATGGGTCAGGAGAAACTCAGAGAGAGTTCAGTCTGAAGGGAAACTTGAATTCCTAGGTCATTCGTGATAGGAACTTTCCTTAATCCTTCAAATCCTCCACTGTGCAAAAAAAGCGATGGCATATTTCTGATAGTTCACGTAATAGCTGTCGAAGGGGCTGCAAGCCCTTCTTATGCGTAGAGTACTTGTGTGCCCATGTGCTCTTCAATCCTTCAAAATCTTCCAAAAATCCTCTGATGGATATTCTTTTTGAGTAGAGACTGATAGTCTGTTGAACTGGACTGGACTTGAGTTGCTAGATACTAAACTTGCTTTGTGAGATTTCCAGTTTGATATTATTTGCATGCATCCTCTTCTGTTTCCTTTGATGCAGGCCAAGCTTTGTGCCTCGATACGATGGCTGGTCTCCAAGGCCTACAGTAGCTCTACGATCCCCCCAGACATCAGAAACCCCTTCTTCAAAGACAAAGAGGTGAGCTACGTGTAAACCCTGTTCATGCTCATGGAATGTACTCAAACAGTCCATAGCAAACAAGGGTCAGAAATGATGAAAATGCCCTCATTCCATGTTTGGAATTCCCCCTGCCCTTTTCTCCCCCGTAAATTTGTTTCTGGATCCGCCCTTGAAAGTACATATACACTGTACATGTACCCTCAATGTTACCACTTTTTTTGGTTGTCCCTAGGGTGAGGACCATCTCCGTCCTGCTGTTATCTACCAACTGTCATCAGGGGAGCTCTACAGTCGCGCCTGTGCCAACATCTTCCCTCCATCCCTGCACCAGTGGCAGGGCCACTGGAGCGTCATCCAGGGACTGTCACGGCGCGGGATCTACGTGGTGGATGACCGGAGACAGCCGGTCACCGAGGCCGTTCTGACCCAGACGCAGCGCATCAAATTGGTATGCAAGGGATGATAATTGTAATGAGCCCTTTCGGAATTTCAAAAGAAGCAAGGTCATTCAAAAACAAAGCATGCCCGCAAGGCCATGTAGGGTCTCGCTGATAGGGCAGACCTCATACATGCCTCCAAATGACCTTGGATGCACTTTATTTTGGGCATTCGATGTTGGAATACCAAACTGGCTCATTATGAATATCGGGTAGCAGCTTCTGAGATAAGAATGGTTTTTTTTTCTGATTATGAAATACTGCTACTGTTATTGGTTGTTATTATTACGAGTCAGCTAAGCTGACTGCCCCAAACCGAACCACTTAAATCACAAGAAGGAAAAATATAAACAAAAAGCAATCACTAAAGCATCAAGCTGGCATGCAGAGGGACGATAATAGACTGGTGCATTGAGCTCCACGGTCCACTCCATGGTCTCTTAACCAGTCAGAGCCGTGATTTAATGTCCAGCATTTGAGCATGAAAGTTCTTTCGTACGCATACGTGTGTATGACGTGTGGCTGCAACATGTCAGCGTGGCATTGGACAGGGGCGTGTGTTTCATTGCTGGTGTGCTCAGTGGCTGGGGCCAACTGGATCGGTCTGTTGTATCATGAATTGTAGGGAAGGCATGCTTCAGAATGCAGCATGGTCATGCTCTGTCCAATGTATTCTTCCCAGTGTCTGGAAAGTGTAGCTTCCACACCGTGTACGAGCAAGCATTGTTGCCTACATGTAGTTTGTTCATAGCGGGGAATTACATGTAGGCAATGTTTGAAAAGTTGGTGTCCACATTCAACCTTGAAATGAAAATTGACCTACAAATGTTGCTACATTTTCATTTTTTTTTACATTCATTGTCTACCAAAATAAGTTGTCCAAAAAGGCCTAGAAAGTGTCCCAAAGATGCAGAGACACTCCTGTGGTCAGTTACCCAGTCAGTTAGGAAGATAATCGTGGATTTAAGGGAGCGGCTTCCAGAATTCGGAATGGTCTTAGACTTTTTCTGTTGGATGTTGCTCTTCTGTAATGTAGGATATCCCAGTAGGAGTATGGTGTTCCTACATGTGTGTACAATGTACATGTAGTTGGTGTCAAACTGAAGAGGGCTCTCCTGTTGTAAGTTTGCAGGATTTTTTATAGGAGAAATGCTGTAAATGGTTCTGACATGTACACAACAATATTGGAGTACATGTGGTTTTTGTTGCAACGAAGCATTGAGACTTTCAACCCTCCCAAAAAAAGTCCTTCTACCCCCTATCCACAACAGATTCTCTTTTCTACATGTACCTATGATGTCATTGGTGAAGTATGGTAACAAACAGCTTGTCCCCTTCTCCCTCCTATATCTGAAGCCATGTAAAAAACTTATGATCAAATAATGTGTCTCCTGAGGTGGGCATGAACTCATAAGGTTTATTTTGACTTTGGTTTCATGAGAGAATCGCTCAGGACTTCTCTGATGGTATTTGTGTACACATACATGTAACGAAGGTACATGTATGTAAACATCTTGGCCGCAACACCACTCATAAACATTCCCGACACTCAGATTGGTCATCAAAGACTTTAGCATTCTAGGCCACGGCCCAGTTTAGGTTCCTCGCAGGCACAGATTTTGTATGAAGTGATCCAAGACGTCCCAGGAAAAAATTACACATGATTGAGTTTCCCGGGGTTGATTGGCTGACTTCCCAGTTGAGCGGTGGTTAAGCATCCTGGCAATGTTGGGAAGAAGATTGAGTTCATACCGCCATTGGGTGCAGATTATTTGAGTTTTTCTCTTTTTTTAAGTTTCATTTTGAAAGAGAAATAAATGAAATGAACAGTGGAGATGTGCCAACATTGGCAGGGTTTACTAGTACGTGTAAATTAATTTAACTGCGCAGTTTTCCTGGGGAAAGGATGTAGATTTTTCTGAGACTGGCTGAAATTAGTTGAATGTGGGATTTATTGTAGTTTATTTATTGTTTTGTTTATACAAGTTTGTTTTATTGTGGATTTTTGTTTTTGTTTTGTTTTTTGACTTGGTGTAGTGTACACAGTCATGACATCTAAAGATGTACATGCAGATTCAAACTTTTGCTTGATTACACTTGTAACTGATGTAATACACAAGTTGAAAGCTGAAAACATATTGCTTAGGCCGTAGCGAATTCATAGCATACCAATACCATAATTGTGATGGACTAATCTCTTGGCCACTTGCCGGAAGGCAGGATATGGCTGTACATGATCTCTGGAGATTGTTGCTACAGGTGTACAATTATGAATGGAGGGATTCACTGCCAAGGCGGCAACATCTGATACATAAGCCTCCCAATGCTGAAGTTTTGGGAGCAGGTTGATACTGTGAAGGAAGGGATCCAGACATACCTGTACAAGGGTTAAGGCTACATCCGAATCTATTGTCTAGAGCCTATGTCTAGTTCTTTGCTCCATTGGAAATATGTAAGGAAACGCTGACGATAGACACACATACATATACGTGTACATGTAACCCTAACTCAGCAAGCCTGCTTCAGATGGGCCTTTGACAAATACAATGTATTTGTGGCTGTTACGCACTTGTCAAACAAATTTACCATTATGAATAGCTTATAAATTACATGTACTGTCCAGTCTTTATGTTTAGTGACACAAGTTGATTTATTGTACATGTACATGTCCATGTACAATTGATGTGTTGGTCTTGTGAATTAAATATACAGGTACTAGTAAATGTGCATTATACATGTACATGTACAATGCACATAGTGTACACCAGTGCTCCTATTGCTACTGTCTACTGCATTGGGCCTTGGTGGGATGTTAAAACTTTTACGTAAAAAAATCCTTCCTGTACATTTCCCAGATTTGTTTTAATATACATGTACGTATGTACAGCGTACATGGACATGAACACGCACTTGTCAGCCAGAATATGCACGGCCTGCCTTGCACTGAATTTATATTTGTTGCGGCTGTCTTGGCTGATTTCTACTGAGAACATAAATGTACATTTAAATTTCTTAATAGTTTTGCTGTGTGAAAAAACTGACCAAGTTAGGGTCAAGCATGACGTCCCTCAAAAATGCCGTGCTGGTGGCTGCATTCCTGCCGTCCCATACCTCATATAGATTCTTATTTCACTGCTTTAACATTGCTACCGTTGTGTAATACTATTTTTAAACATGATAAACATGAACATTTGCAACATTTATGTATAGTTGCACCAAACCTCATTAGCATGGAACAAATTCTAATACTGGGTACTAAGTTTAAATTTCAACTCTGTTGTCACACTTTTGTCATGTCAGTCTGGTACAGATCACATCGTCTGAAGTTACTATTGAATGCAGATCAATGGCTCAATGCTTGTTTTTTTTTTTCATTGTTTCAGAATGCCCACCTTGCTGTTATGGATTCCATAATGACTGCCTACACAGGAGAAGTGGTTAGCATTGAGAAGATTGTACAAGCTGTCAGGTCAGTTCAAAGCAGTCACATAACCTTTCACCTTAATTCCTTAGGCATAAAGACCTTGTTGCAGTCAAGTACATGTACCCACTGGTACCTGATGTGTGCCAGTTCAGCCTGTTTGCCAACCCAGCTGAGTACAGAACGCAAGGTTGATTGAAAATAAGTTAGAGGGATTGACATTTAGATCAAAGCGGAATCTTTCTCAAAGATAAAGCTGAAATGAATACTGTGTACATATACCTGTACTGAAATGAATACACATTTTAGTAGATGTGGTTTTCATCAATTTTGCTTGAGCAGTTGACTGCCCTTGCACATCCAAATCAAAACCCATTCACAAGTTTTAGATTGTATGCTTTTGTTTCCAGACGGATCACGACCTTCAATGCTTCCAGCGAGCTGCCCTTTGACCTGGAGAACGCCCTGGTGTTCTGGGTCAACAAGGTCTGTGTGGCGGCACGGCACCGCATGGAGCGGGAACGGCGGAGCCAGCAGGAGCAAGCCATGCAGACACAAGCGCAGAAGGTAAAAATGTCAGTGCAGCAGGTCAGAGAGCAGCTCCATAGACTGCTTGTGTGAAAGAGACCAAGCACCTCGATACCCAAAAATGAAATTCCTTGGGATCCATCACCTGTTAGCATTGTATGATCAAAGTGTGGACAAATCAGGAGGGTTTTTGTGCAGTGAAGTTAATTGATTGGCATCAAATACGTTCCATGGTCTGTGATACGTTGCCATCCACATACGGTATTGATGGAATGTGCATGATCTAAATGTGCACAAATCGACTGTGGTTTTTTTTGTGTATCTGAAGTAATGGATGAGTTCTGTAGACTCCACACGCATACAAGATGGGGTGCTTTGATTCCCAGCTTTGACATTCCACAGGGGCCCTACGCTGTGCCTATCCATGTATGGCACTGAGTGTGTACGATTCTAATGTGGGCAAATTGATAGGGCCTTTGCATAGTGCCAGGTACATAGTGAGGATTAACATACCTATTACATCTCACAGTGACTGAGGTTTTTTTCTTCTACTAGGTTCGGATCAAGCGACAGCACCTACAACTCAAAGAAATGCCCGGTGTCCCCATCATCAAGAACGTCACCAAGGACATATCAGACGGCCGCAGTCTGTGCCTCCTGATACACTACTACTGCCCTCAGCATTTTTCATTGGATGGTAAACTTTCCTTAGTTTGCCAATCACATCACAATATGTGTGTCTGCCTCCTTTGTACATTGTAGATGTCCTTGTGTTCAGTGTGCATGGGTCATACCGACAGAATAATGTTCCTAAATGACATGGTTTATCGTCCTAGTGTTTATCATATTTTTTGGCAGAACTTAAAAGAGTTTGGGTAGAGTGCCATTACTTCTGCCAGAAATGTACATGTATAAGGTTTTGACCTTGTAAGAAAAGTGGTGGTGTGCACGCTCAGGTAGGGTTCATATCATTGACCTCCAGTCGCCGGAGCTTCCTATGATTCACTGATCAGTTTGATAGAGCACTCGGTCAGTTGGTACTGCAGTCAGTTCAAACAATCGTTGATTCTAAGGTAATTATAACATGAAGTCTGTGAAGTGTTTAGCCCGATAATTTAAAAATGCCGGTCTTTTTCTTCACTCCAGATGTGGACCTTCATGATACCATGTCCTTTGCCGATTCAGTCAACAATCTCCAGCAGGTGGAGAACTTCCTGGAGCAGCACCTGCCCGAGACCCACCACTTCACCTTTGAAGACCTGCTCTACTCCCCCGAGGCCCTGCGGGTCAACATCCTGGCCCTGACCGCTGAGCTCTTCTACTGGTTTGAGGTGGCCCGGCCGCCGCGGCTGGGCTTCAGTCAGGAGCTAGGTATGACCGAGACCCAGAACAAGTGGCTATGGTCATAACATAACACATTTTAAGTGTGGAAACCACCAGCTGGGGGCTTCTTCCATTTCCCATAGACTTGTGTAATGATTTCAGCCATAGCCAAGTGATTCAGACTCCGACTTTGGGTTTTTATTTTGACGCCATGTATGTAAATCATATGAGGCACTTTGTAACCTGGAAGTGACATTCCTTGGGGAAGAAACATCCCTTATGGCACACATGTTGCCATGTGCACAAAACCAACCACTGTGTCAATAGACTGATCCAGATAGTCCCATCACTGTGCATGTCTGCAGTTAACGTGCATTTCTCTGTGATGCCACACTGCGTATTGCACGGGCGTGCATCATAAGTGCCTGCAAACATAAATAACAGCTGTGATTGGTCCGAAACCGTGGGGTGTGGCTTCATTGATTGGCCAGTGAAGTGTTTCTCTCTGTCCTCCATGTGTTTGGAGTCCACTTCTTCCATTCACATGGAGGCACACGGCCCTATCCTGAGGCCCTACTAGATGGCACTCTCAATCCGTCAAGAATTCTTTCTTCTTTCTCTTTAACCACATATTCACCATAGATCCTTAGATCCTTCAAAATCCATTAGGAAGTTTGGAGGACAGTGACGGATTGATGGAGATAGTTTCTTTCCACAGAACACAGTTAGTAATTGAACATTCTAGTGCCAAGAATATGTCAATGGTTTCTTGTATGGTGGAAAAGTTGGGAGCATTCAGGATGGTTCCTTTGAGAAATGCCATGGAAGTAGGGGTTAAAAATGAAAAATTTGTCCCAGAATAAACTGCTGTTGGGAAGACGTAACTTCCAGCATTGGGCTTTGTTCTGCAGTAATTTGTAAACAGTGTTTTGGTATACAAATAAAGATATGCTGCCCTTAGTGGTGGAGTAGATGAGACAATTGTATAAGCAAACATAAGGTTGTAGATTATAGTCTCTCCTAGCAAGCTTGTGTATTTTTCTGGCAGTGTCTTGGACAGCACCCAGAATAGAGTGTTCTCATTTTCTTCTCAGAAAATGAAATGATTACATATTTCATGTCCTTTATACAATTCAAACTTTGGTCCATTCAGGTCAAAAGTTTCCTGTAACCCCTGAATCTGGAAGATCCCGGGTACAGCAGCTGCCCCCGCTCCCCATCAGCTCGGCGACGAAGAAGAGTTTCCACGGCGATGCACCATCTCCAAGGTCAGAGCTGAGGAGTGCGGCGAGCAACCCCGAGGTCAACAGGATCACATCTGCCAGCCCTCAGTAAGTTTGCTGTGGAAACTACGCAGTCAAATTCATTTGAATACTAATACAGCTTTTTGTTGACTCGTGTTCACTCATACTAGGGCTTCTCTCTGTATTTCGGTCAAGACTTTCTTGAGGTCCACCTCCTGAAACTTTTGCATAGTTTCAAACTGTAATTTTTTGCTTGTGCCATGCAGATGTCTTCCTTTAAGATATACAAAGAGAATCTGAAAATACTTTAATGATCAATTCAATCTCACAAAAGCACGCTTTAGTCATAAGAATATTGTCTTATTTTTCAGGAGTCATTTCAACATCCTTTACCCAGTTTAATTGAAGCACTAATGTCATACATGTACATTAATTGTAATGTGCAACGAGAGTCACTATGTATGTTAGGATTTTTACGAAGCCTGTTCCACAGTGAAGTCTCATGATCTCGTGAAATAAGGAAACTTTTTGTGAGACCCAGCATTCTACCAGTAACAACTCAGAGTCATAGCGTAATGTTACTCTGTAAATGCAAAAAGTGAAGGGCATTTATCAAACCTTAACTTGATTTTTTTTTTTCAGCTCTGAGTTCCATTTAGGTAGCTGACCGCATGTATTCTTGTACTGTTTGGATCTGTTTTCCTTTGGTCCCAGCATTAAAGGCCAATACATGGCTGTGTGGGTGAAGGAAACTATAGCTTTGAAAAAGGCCCCAAGTTTTCCTCTTCACACATATTGATATATCAGGGGGCCAGAATTAGAAGCCATTACTGGGGGCTTTCCTATTTGCAGGCAAGGGCAAGTTTGATCAAGGGCCACAAGCTAACTAGTGGTTGGTTCATGATGTACGTAGTGCATGTGCAGTAAAGTCGAAGTGGGAACAACCCTTGTCAACCGTTGTCAGGTCATTAGGCCAAGGGAAGATACCAAAAGGTGGCCGCAGGAAGGGTAGAAGGGCAAAAATAACAGTGAAAATGGCTGTTAAGTGACATACTGTTTTTCCGGCATTTTTCTTATAACTGGTGCTCTGTGCACTGTGCTATTAAAGTGGTTTATGGCAACCGACGATGCGACCAACTTCGATAGGCTGGTTGCAGATAGTTGATTAGACTAGTCTAACCACTGTCAACTAGCGAACATTCCGTCAGAGTAAGTCCTTGATTGAAGTTGGCCCAGGGTGTTGTGCACATGTTACATGCTTCTATGACTAATAGGATGCTCAAGTTAATTACCTGTGTCTGTGTGAGTACGAGGACCTCAAAGTCATGTAGAACCATCTTCTCGGATTGGTTTATATTTTCATTGTATCCCTATCTTGTCCCTCCAGGAGGACCCAGTCTCTACTGGTTCACAGGGAGAGGAAGCCCCGCAATGCCCTGCACGCCGAACAGGGGGAAGACGGTCCCTCCAACCTGAGGCGGGCCAGTTCCCTGGAGAACATGGAGGCCAGAGAGTCCTTCCTGGCCTGGCAGAGCCGGGAGGAAGCCAGGGACAGGTATGGCCAAGTCTGTTGTCAGCATGTGCCATTGTATTTGTAACGGTCAAAGACTTGGTGCAGCCTTGCCAATACAGACTGTGCAGACTGGATGATATCAAGTAGTTCATTAAATACCATTCAGTATTGTATTTCTACCATCTCACGGGGGGGGAGGTAGAATGATGGATCTTATTGATGTATATCCTGTTTTTGTTTATAGGAATTAAAAAAATTGATACCCAGCTAGTTACAAAAAGATGGAGGACAAGAGATTTATATGAAGCTGAATGCCCTCTATCTTTCCAAGCTTTCAGAGTTTACACTCTTGGGTAAAGACTCATTTTGAAAGGTTCCATTGTTGATTTTCATGCTCAAAAGTAAGAGTCATTCTTAGAGCAGGAGAACCTTCCCATAATGTTTCAGAATGAGTTGTTAATTTGTGCAAACGGTCACTGTTTCAGGTCACAGACATTTGGAACTCCCAGCCCGGGCAGTGCTCCGGCGTCAACTGTGCGAGACAGCAACACCAACAACCTCCTTGCCAAGGTCAGCATCGACAGCGACATGAACGATAGCCACAACTTCTCCGAGCTTGGTGGCATGCCCAACCTGAATGGTCAGCTGTCCAAGGAAGGGAATGACAGTGGAGAGGGACTGATGTCCTCATCCGCGCACTTTGAAAACGAAGATGACCTTGAGGTGGAGAGCTTGACTTCAGCCCTATCGCGGATCTCACAGCAAACTGAAAAACCAGTCTCGTGTAGTTACAGCGAGGAGGTGCAACTCCCGAGTAGATCGCCTGGAGGTGAAAATGGAATCTCAGCAGATCAAGAGCTGACAAATGTGACTCCTCTCAGTAGTATGTCATCAAGGCCGAGCCAGTCTCTGAACTCAGAGACTGGCCGAATGGACCTATTAGACCAAACCCGCGACAGAATTGGACAGTCGAGGACAAATGGCAGTGGAGAGTTTGGACACCCGGAAGCGATTGAGCCCGAAACAGACATGAGAGCTGTGACACAGTCCCGGAGACGTCTGAAGCTTGACATTGAGCCGGTGGACACAAAGCAGACAGAGAGGCTCCTCCCGGCAGTCGTTAGGCCACTCAAGGAGAAATCCCGCAATGTGAACAAGAAAGAGGAGAGTGGGGAGGGCCGTAGGATTGCCCGCAACCCACGAGAGGACAGATCTGGGAGGTCGCCTAACCCAAATGGCAGCAACATGACAACGTGGTCACGGAAGCAAAGTGCCGGTGGAGATGGTGAGTCCCCGGAGAGTATTGATGCTACGACACCACTTAGCGGTGAGAGCATAGCTGATTCCCTAGCTGGGGATGGTGCACTACAGCTGCAGCAGCAGCACCGCCTGGCCTGGCAGAAGCCAAGACCCGGCGTAGCACAGCACCAGGCCGACCCCACTTCTTACACCACTTCTCACCTCTGCCAACCGGAAGAGCCGCATGTGGCCCACGCCAGGCATGGCGAGGCTTTCTTCATCCACTCTCATGCACAGCCTGAGCAGTCTGTAGGAAATAGTTCTCTTAGTAGGACTGGCACCGGTAGTAGCTTTACTATTGCTGATAAGAAGTACACTGTGGCCAGCGCCCTGGAGGCTGGTATACCCGTCGTTTCTTCTCTGGTTGACCTGCAGGACAGCGAGGAGCCAGCATCCTATGACAACCGAGCCAGCCCCCGCCACCCTTCTGCTCACCCTAGCTTGCATGCTGCACCCTCTCATAGTCCTGTTTCTGCTTGGCACCCTACAGAAATTCTGTCTGGCAACCCGCACCCAAACCCTTCCCCTAACCTGCATGCCCAGCCTAACCCGCATGTCCGGCCCAACCCACATGCCCAGCCCAATCCGCATGCCCGGCCAAATCTGCCCCCGCATGAAACCGCTATCAATCGTAATGCTGGGCATTCAGGTGATGACAGGCCAGGCCTGACGCATGCGGAGTCCCCCCAGGGACATTCTAACACAGGTATGGACACAGGTAGTCATAACACCCCTAGCAGTCATCCCCAAAGCCCGGAGAAAGAGTCCTCTAAGTTGCATGCGGAGCTGATCCAAAGAGAGTCTACCGCTGACCCACGGAAACCTGTACTAATGACATTTAACTCCAACCTCAGCCCCGACGAAAAGTCATCGCTGAAGCAGTTCATTATTCCACCTACCTCTACCCAAGTCATTAGCTCTGACCAAGACAGTGACCTTGACCACAAACCAAGCTCATCCAGTTTGACAACCTCTCAGGAACACAAAGATCTAAAAGGATGTGAGAAATTAGAAGCAGAATTGGCACACAAAACCCATCCCATGGATACAGAACGAACAGACATAGAATCCAGCCCCAAGTTGGCAATAGACCCTGACAGTTCATCATTAATCATGCACTCCAACCCCTATTTAAGCCCTCCTACTACTCAGCCCACCATGGTAGATCATTCCTGCATACCACTCGAGTCGACCAGTAGCTATCCCGAAAGCCAGGTGCTTACCACCTGGGGTGCTAACTCCAAACAAACTCCTTTGTCTGGCATTATTAACACAGGTGGCGGGAACTTGACCCAGTCCGGAAGCTTAGCGGCAGGTGATCTAGCTCAAATCCGGTCACGCTTAGAAGAGAAGCGTCGCCTCATGGACTCGGACAAACGCAAGCTGGAGCGTCATTGGAGCAAGCAGAGGCAGCGCATGGGGAAGGCTGCCTTCCTCCAGGTCCTGGCCAATCAGAAGCGGGTGAAGGACCCTGTGGCAGGTGACCAACCTGTCGGAACGGAAGACGACCGGTCAATGATTGGTGAGAAGACGAGATCACAGGATGTTTACTCCCGGGAGGAGCTGGAGCGGTCCATCGAGAAGTCCCGGACACAGTGGGCAAGCAATCAGGCCCAGCAAGAAGGCAAGATTACCTTTGCAGATCTTGGCTCCAGCAAGGAGAAGCAGCTGTCCAACTGGAGTGTTGCTGACAGTCCCCGATCACAGCGGCCCACAGCATCAAGCCAGTTAGCAGACAGGCCAGAGTCACCCCCAGGCATCTCGGAGGTTGCAGCTGGCAAGGGGAGCCCGGGTTCCAGCTCTGGGTCGCATTCCCCACACATGACGTCAGACGAGTACAATACTTCCCTGGAGAAGCTCAACGCCAATTTGTCCCAGCTACAGAACGAGATCCAACGACTGTCACTGCAGCAGGAGCAGATGCGGAGTGTCATGGAATCCCCACGTCCCCCCAGTGAGCGCAGCCAGTCGCCCCAGCATGCCCCACCCGCAGACAGCAAACCTTTTATCTTGCATGCTGGGAGTGACCCACCTGCCACATCACAAGGATTCTTCCTGAGCTCAGACACAAACAAAGAACCAGAATCTTTTGTTCTACATGAGAACCCAGTCTACGAAATGTCCGGGGCGGACATGCAAATGCACAGCCCCCGTCCCGTTGGCCCCGTGCAGAAACTGGCCCCGGAAGTTGGACAGGGTTCCATCACCAGACCTGTTGAGCAGCCCAAAATTCCGAAATCGCCATACCCAGCCAATCAAGTCCCGTCCTCGTCACCAGACAACACATACATCATTCCCCCTGCGCAGACTCCTGTCAAAAACATTGTCTCCGAGACGCCCAAGAACGAAGTGCCACAGAATATCACCCATGTCGTGGCGTCCACGCCAGCCAATGAGCCACCACGCAATGCAGACGCTCTGGCCAACCAGCACCAACCGCCGCTACCCACAGTCGCGAGTCTGTCCAATCACATGGCTCAAATGTCCAATAAAGAGCAGTCACTGGCCAGTCCTGTTGAAGCCGTCGAGGTTGTGAAAAGACCAAAGAAAAATCGTGAGGCCACATCACCAACTCGGAAAAAGCGTAGCTCATTGTATGAGATTGTCGGTGAGGGCGAGGATGACGATGAAAACCTAAGTGAGGATGAACACTTGGTAGTGCGCCCCCTAGATTCGACAGGAAATTCTTCATTAGATGCAAAAACGAAAGCAAAGGGATTTGTTATTGCTTCAGAAACAGTGAGTTTGAAATTTATCATTTTTGATTTTAGAATCCTACAAAGTGGAACACCAAATGTCTCTCATGAGCCAATGTGGCCCCTAAGGCCACCATCTGTCGTTTATTTTCATGAGAAAATTTCCACTCTCCCTGGATGGGATGCCAACCTGTCCATTACAGGTTGTTCACCAGCTAATGTTAACACCCTTTCTATGCTCCTGGTCAGAGAGGAGCAAATAGGATAAAATGGCTTGGCCCAACGGCACATATTTTCAGTAGCTGGATTCAAACCCTGACCTCTGAATCATAAACCACAAGGTCATATTTTCCCCCATAACATTGATAAATGAAAAGGCTGTAAATAAGGACAGCTTATCTAGTAGAATACCGTTAAGATTTTGGAAATCAGTCATTTTAAAATCTTGACCTCAGTCCTGTTTCTCAGTTTCAATAACAGTGATCGTAGTTGTTCAAACAGTAGTTGATTTCGGGCCCATTTACACACACTAGCAATTAAGGAAGGCTTTAAAGGAAAGCGATATGCTTTAAGATGTTTTACATTTGCCTAAAAGGCCGATGTAAATGCATGCAAATTACTGGCTTTCTGCAAGAGCAATTATGCACCACAGGAAGAATCAAAGGCACAAGGAAATGCTTTACAATGCTATTTAGTCTATGACATCACACTTAACAAGTCCACTGATTGGCCAGACTTTGCTGTGTCAGCACAGTGTCTTTGAAATTTGCTCAGGTTTCTAAACACCATCGTTCATCTCCCTGTCGTGTGGTTTGTCATTTGTCTGTAGAAACAGTCCCGTGGGAAACCAATTTTTTGTTGTATTGTGGGGAATTCTGTTACTATTTATCTGTGCAAATATGCCCTCAGAGTTGCCCAAATATTTGGCTCTTCTGTTAAATTGCTTTTTGTTAAATCTCCAGGACCAGTTGGATGAGGTAGAGAGAAGGAAGATGCTGTTCCTCCAGAATCGCCTTAAGAAGCAAGAGGAGGAAAAAGCCAAGAGAGCGTCACGGGAGGCCGACATGGAGAAGAAGAGAGAGCAGAACAGGTCCGTTCATACTCAGATCGTGCCACTACTCTGATTGTCTGCTTGATTTTGGATTTTTGCTGGTTTTGACTTCTTTTCATTTTTTATTTGGATAGGCGGAAACAAGAAGAGATGGAAGCCAAGAAGGCAGAAGAGAGAGCACGTCGGGAGCAGATTAGGTTGGAGTACCAGAGACGCAAACTCCAAGAACAACAGGTACGGGACTTGGGTCTGCGTGGCTCGACATTTCGTACATGTGGTCCTCGCCACTTGATGATCCCATCGCAGTGGACAGGACTTTGAATCTTAAGGGAGCAAACCGTAACCAGCAGCCTGGCGTCACTATTGAAAAGCAAGACCATGCTCTGGAAGCAGACGAGCACTCTCAACATATCCAAGAAGTAACAGCAAATGATATCTTTCCCCACAACTACGATTTGTTCCCAAAGAAAAGTCAGTACAAAGTACAATAGCAGGATAGCGCAGTACTAAACGATGATACAAGACAGTGTGACTTAAGTAAAAAAATCACAACTGCACTACAGTACGACAATACTTGATACAAATTACAATACTCATCACATTGAGCCCCGATAATCACACAATATCTCCAACAACAGATCATGCAAAATATACATACAATTACGGAAGGTTTCAAAGATTAATACATGTACTTTTCCACTTGACTTACATGTACATGTGGAACATGGCTGGAGCCATGGTTTCTGCAAAACTGAAGGAAAATGGAGAAAGAATTTGGCACGGCTCTATCCTATTCGAAACCCACAGAAAAAGACCCCGTTGATACCGCATGCACGGGAAGCATCAAAAAGTAAAAACTTTATGTTAATTACCCCTGTGATATGAATATGTAAAAAGAAAGGAAGGATGAGGGCACCCTTAACAGACATGGTTCCCTACAATAGCTAATATGCATAATGGGCACATAATTAAGGAACCGCTACGTGCAGTCATTGTACAAATTAGAATGCAAATGAAATTCGTGCTGTCATTTTGCTGATGTAGCATTTGGTTTCATTTAGCAGGAGAACGAACCAGCCCCAGCAAGGCGGGCCAAGCCCACCAAGCCCCGCCCTAAATCGACCGTAGTGGAAGACCAAACAGACTTCGGTCGGCCTGCAACAAGTCGCTATGCTCCGGACAGGGACCTGGACAATTACAGTAAGCAATGTTTCCCACAGTTTGAAGATTGGAAGGCAAGTTCCTAGTCTTCCTGTCGTTTTGGATCTCCAGGAAGGGTTTAAGGTCAAAGGTTAAAGGGTATCATTCACTAGTAGCTCTGTGCAGTTTTGAGTTTACCTATTGAAAAAGATTAAAACTGATTGCATACAATCACTAACTGGCCTCACTGTATTTGACTAGTAGCTTCTAATGCGCAAGCAAGCTACTATAAAGTGTCAATTGAAGTCAGAGGTTATGGTCTAATGTCAGAGGTCAAAAGGCTTTCTCTCTGGACTTGGTGCAGGAACTTCAGTTGTTGCTTAGTGACTTCATTGGAGCTGAGGGGGGACATATTAGCTGTGCACAGTGGGTCATACATGCAAATGAGACATGGTGACCTATTTTCAACAGAATGTGCACAAATACATGCCATCATTTCTTTAGAGAATGGTACATATTCATTGTTGACTTTACGTGTATGCACCAAGTCCATGAGGTCTGGAATATTGGCCGTCCTTACAGATTTTTTTAAATGTATGCTGCATATATACATAGATTTTTAATAAAAAGCACTAGCGCATTGTGGTCTTTTCTGGATTTTGTTTTTTTCAGTTTGCATTTTGAAGTACATGTAATAGGTTTTTCTGATGTTTCCCCCGGTGTTTCAGCAATTCCATACATGTGCAATGCACACCATAACATATAAGTACATGTACCATAGATGACGTAAGTCAACTTCACTTGGATCCCCTTCAATTCAGCAGAACATCCATGATACCATTCTTTTCTATCAAGCATCTGCAGTGAACAGCAGTTTGCTGCCCTCTGTTGATTGATTGTGTAGTTGATGGAAATTTATTTATTGTGGAAGTCTTTGAGCAAGCACACATACTTACATCATAAGCATTCCAACATAAAACCAACCAAAGATTTGTCTTGTAGCTCACAGGCCAGGAATGGCCGGCTACGACAAGAGTCCTAAGTCACCAGAGCTATGGTACCTTTGAGGCAGAGGCCTTCGTAAAAATGGTTTCTCATTCACCCTGCTCTCTTTTTCTCAGCTGCTGCTTTCATTTTCTTTATAATTTGGTGTTAAATTTTATACTGACTTATCATTGCTTCTTGAAAAATAAGTAGCTATAAATGCAAACTGAATACCTGTGAGAGCTAGAGCACCAAAAAATAGTATTGGCAAAAGACCTGAGAAAATCCATCCACATTCTTGGAAAAACCACTTTACCATCTGTAAGAAAGGCTTACCCCCTTAAAAAGGGCTGTATGCTATTTTTATATTTTTTACTCAGCCTCAAACAGTTTTGAAATGTGGAACTCGTAGGACCCTTCACACTATTACTCTGTGTTTATGAGGTGCTTGAGTACAAGGTAAATCATTTGATATATCAAATTGGAGAGCAGTGGGAGTTTCTCAGGCATGTGGAAAACTATTGAGTCAAAAATACGGTTGGATCTGGTCACAGATTTTAGTACAGTGTACTTAGTAAGTACCAAGTTTGATGAGTAATAATTGACACAAAAACCAGTTTAATTAAAAAATCAGTTAATTACTAATCAGCAAATAAGGCAAATGCAGTGGGCATCTCTCAGTTTGTAGTTGTTATTAAGCAAGTCGTTAGGATAAGTTACGCCACCGTTAGCAATGCTACACCGCTCTCGATCATCAGGTGCCCCGAAGAAATCCTTCACGGTGAGTGCGCCCTCGAGTGGCGGTGGCAGCGGCGCTGAGAGTCAGGTCAAAGTGCCCCCCGTTGACGGCCCCGAGCAGGCCGCTGGTATGTTTGGTTTTGTTGGAGTGCCTTGCTGTGAAGTCATGTTTCACCCATACCTTTACAACAACAAAAAAATCCTACCGTAACTCATGATTTGCTGTTTTTGTTGAAGCTAACATCAAACATATCATTGTCATTTGTTTTTGGATAATTCATCACGTTTGGCCATTATTTTCATCCTAAGTATTAATTTGTTTGCAGAAGTTAGACGACATAGTATGTAGCATTGCAAGAGCTGCTTGTGTGATTATCTGACTACATGTATCATCAGGAAAGGGCTCTGGTGTCATTCATTTTGCCTTTTGTGGTTACCATTTTGCTTTGGATTTTTGGATTTTTAAAAGTGAAAAGATCCCTGCTTTGGAACCTCAGACTGTTTTTAAACTTCAAACTCAGCAGTCTCAGTTTGAAAACCAATAAAGTCAGTCCAGTTTTAATGCAAAGTTCAAATTGTCCCTGAAAAGTGAGGCCAGTTTTGTTGTTGAACTTCCCAAGCTCAATTCAGTAATATTGCCCAGGTTTTTGCAAGCTTGCTTTGTTGGAATTGGTTGAATTTGAATTCCCAGATTAACAATAATGTTGACAAATAAATACATAAAATGCTTAAAATTTATTAGCATTGTAATTCAATCCGTTGCCATTTGTTTAGCTATTGCATTTTTGCTTTGTTGTTTTAATTTTTGCTGTAATTGTATTAAAAAGTAATTTTATTTCAGCTAACTGAATAGTACATTATCCATTTGTTAATCCGTCATGTTTTATAGTTTTGACTCTCAATTCTTCATTTATTAATTTCATTATTTTAATTTTTGCCATCTTTCCAGGATATATTAACCTCGTTAAGTTCTATACTAGAAGGTCAAGAAATTTCATTTTTTTCCACAATCAAAATTTCTCCAAGAAAAACTTGACAGCCCCTTACAAGTTGGGCAGTTAATTCCATATTTGCCATGAGAACAGTAGTATGCTGGTCCAATGGAAATTGCCATTAGATAAGCCTTGGGTTGTAGAGAACAAGGCTAAATACAGGTTGAAACTTGGACTCTGTATATATTCACATTACAGGAAAGCTGGGTGTCACTTTGCCACTGCACCATCTACAATAAAGTCAGCAGTTTATGTTTGCCAAATGCATAAGCTCTTACACAGCTGGACACTTCCTCTCTGGATAGCAGCAGTCTTTGTATTTACTTTTGAGGCCCCTCAAAGCTGTTCAGAAAGTGCCAAAACTGAAATATGCTGAGCAGTCAAATATGTTTTAAGCAGAGTGAGCAGTGGACATGCAGAGTTTTTTGCTTGATAACCTGTTTTTGCAGATTTTTCTGTGCTTAGCACTTATTTGATTGGGAGCAGTTCCATGAAGGATTCAATTTTTTGCCATGAGCAGTTTGAAATCCATGTCAGCATAATCTAGACATGTTGTGTCAGTTCCTTCATTTGCCCTCTGTTCAATGGCTTGTAGTATTGGGTTTAAACTTTTGTAGCTTTATAAATTTAACACTCTTGTCACCCATCACCACCCTTCGTGTTTTCTTTCCATTTCTTTGCACACATGCACTAACTGCGCTCTAATATCAACCTCTAATATCCCACAGAGAAACCTGGGCCGCCTGCATCGCCCAAGCAGCAGGGGGTCTGCCCAGAAGCGAGCGAGGCTGCCACACCCGCAAAATCCCCCGCCACAGAATCCAAAACCGAAAACAAACTGGCCGAACGGCCACTGGTTGCAAAGCAACCGCCAGTTGCAAAGCAGCAACCCTCCCCCCAGTCCCCCAAGGCCAAGGAGCCTCCATGCCTCACCCCTCCTCTCCAGAAGGAAAACCAGCTGCAGGTCAAAGGTCAACTGGAGGAGGTCGCCGGTGGGTCAAGCGCGGCCAGTGTGGTGTCGCAGGACAGCAACGGCTCTGGCGGGGGAGGTGGTCACACCACTCCGGAATACCAGGGTTTGTGGACCCTGTTTACCCCCACTCTTCCATCTGTGGCATGTCTTGAGCCTTGACGAGCATGTTTCTTGATTAACGGCCCTTCCTCAGTCTGTGACTTGCTTGTCAAAGTTTGGTCGCATATATCTGTGCATGGCTTATTTTGATTTGCTGGTTATATCTTTCCTTTGTTTCCTTCTCTGCATCTCTGCTTATCTGCTGCTTGACAGTGTTGTAGTCTGTCAGATTCTCAGACCTGAATTGCAGGTTGCCAAGTTGAAAGTATCAAAGCTGTGATCCCGATTGTCATAATTATCACATGGTGTAATGGTTGGAGGCAGGGAATCAGACCAAGGCTCAGTTTAATTATCTGGCTACAGCACAGACTAACATGCTTGTCTGTGGGAAGTGGCTGTAGCCACCAGCCAGTGGCTCCCGTTGGTGCATGTGTTTTTTGCAGCCACAGATGTTTCTTCCAGATGCAGCCTAACATTGGAAGGATTCAGAACTACCTAGAACACATACCTCATGTAAAATCTTCTCCACGCCATTTCATTAAGTCAACCTATGTGATAACTGGAATTCTTTACTTTAATACTCACTGTTCAACTTTCCTCTCAAAATTTAACATCAGGTAAACACCAGTTACTACAAGGTTCCAGATTCAGGAGCTGAATTGAGAATTTCTTTCTGAGATTTTTTTCCAATAGTGAACAAATCCCTTGATAAGAATGTGCCTTAAAATTTTCCTTGGCCAGACTTAAGCATAAGGTAATTCAACATGTCACGACTTTCCAAAAGGTTTTGCAAGACCTTCTTTCCCATGTTATTAGGAGCATATTGCAGAGGGTAAAACCTGCCTCCATGACTTCGCCTGTACACATGTAGTTCTCATAAACTGCTTTCTGTCATGGTTGAAATGGTTCTGATGTAATCCCCTCATCCCACTTGCACACCTCCTGTTTGCCTTATTGCTGAAGACTTTGGTCGGTACAGGTACATGTATATGTGCCTGACAGTTACAGTTCTTGTAAGCCAACGATTGAATGATTGCTGTGGCATACCCCAAACCATCTGTTGTCCGATACCTTTTATGTTTTAATGTCCACACAGCACAGCCTGACCTAAGCTCTGTTTAGTTCACAGCTTAGCCCAGTGTCCAACCAGTGCCTTTAACCATCTGTCCCCACATGCCCACCCTCTTAAAGTCCCTGCTGCATTTGTAACTGCCAGTATTAGTTCCTTTCAAACTTACCCAGTTGTGCCCGTTTTCTTCGGGGGCCTCAATCCACAATGCCCATTCCACACCCCACCTCAGGCAACCCCCACCCAGGCACCCACCTGTCTGCCAGTCATATTTGTGTACCCGTGCATAGCTTCTCCCTCCCCCCCCCTTGCCACCCAGCAGTAACAATCCTTTGTGACCCCACAACAGTGCTTACATCCCATATACTTGTCTTGTCACACCCCCTTCACCCACAGACCCACGGACCACCCATTTTCCCCCCATATATTTCCATTGTTGCCCACTCAGTACTCCAAAGGCCCAATCGTGCCATTCCTGTAGCATAATTTAATCTCCAAAGCCCAACACCCATGTTTCACCCATGCTTACCCTGGCTAAACCCAAAGTGCCCAGTACCACCTGTGCTGTTGTTTTCACACAGTTTGATTGATCTGTAAACGTTGTATTTTGTCATCCATTGTTGGAGTGCCTTCTCCCAGTGTTTATTTGTCATTAAGTGTTTACTTTTTTTAACAGAGTTGTAATTGAAGTCTTCACGAGTCACATTACAAGTATTCCTTCAAGTCAAGTCACAAGCTGTTGAAATGAACTTTGACAGTGATGTTCCTTTGTTGTCGTTCATTCCTTTTCACCAGACTTGTGGTTTGACACAGATTAACTTCTGATTGGCATGTGATTGACAAGACTTCAAGTCTTTGTGCAATTTCCTCAAATCAATGCATATTCAATTCGAATCACAATTTCCAAACCCACTTTACACATTGTTTCCTGTCATGCATTTTATTCACAGTACTATTTGCATGGGCTGACGTTTTAGCTATGCCAGTGCGAATGAATTTGGTTTTTAAAAAAGCACTAAAATGAATGAATGCTTGATTTGCATGCAAAATTTCAGATGACAAACAAAATGGGAATGTTCTGGTAACGGGTCTTATTTTTCTGGAGAAGTATGTTTAAGTCATATTTTATTTGAGTAATTGTCATGTGGAGAAGAATTTACCAATGGTAACTGAACACAGAATGTTTACATACAGAAATTTATTTTTGGAACTTTAGTCTATAAAACATATTTTAAGACAGTTAAAGATCAGTCAAAACTACAAATTTCAAATTGAAAACTCTTCCCTTGTTCATCAGCAACTTGGACAGAACCACAGCATTCATTGAACTCAGATGACATGTCTCCACCACCTAAAATTGCAGACTTTTTGAATCTGTTATATGCAGGTCCAAAGCTGTACGTCAAGCCCACCAGTAAGTCCAACCGCCACATCATAACCAACGCCATATCGCACTGCGTCCTGGCTGGCACGGTCAACAGGGAACAGAAAGACAAAGTGCTTGAGGTAGGACTGGGACAAACCGACCCAGTTGTCATGGTAACACCCCTGAACCACCCAGCCTGGTGGTTCCTGTTCCGCTCTTAGGATGGTTCATACTTCGGGTAGGGTAGCAAAATGTTGGCAGGGTAATTTGCTGAAGTTAAAAGGGCTGCATGGATATTTGATCTGTTTTCACAGTTTTGTGTTCACTCTTATGCCAAAAGAGAATCAGCCTTGAAACTGCATGAGTCTTCTGCAGTCAGCTGCGAATAAACACAGTCTAGCTATGCTGCTCATGGATTATAGGCTCTGTCGAAAAATATGATATGCTCTGCTGTTGCTCAGGATAGGTTGCAGGTTGCAGTGTCAATGGTCAGTGGAAAGTCATTTGAGGGTGTTTAGTACTTGGTTTGGTTTATCACAGCTAGTTTGACTTTAAAGAGGTATTTTTACCAGTATGTCAAACAAGGCTGCCTCTTCAAGGGAACCAAGGGATTTCCCGCCCCCACACCCATACTGCCACACCTAGTGAAAATTCGCAAATACCTAATTATAACAGGCACTGGATGACATTTTGACTAAAATGAGCTGACTATGCATAAATGTATAAGACATACTCATTTTTCTGTGTCAGGTATGACATTGCTTTGTCATATCTTTTTCATATCATTTCATATCATTTCATTTCATATCTGTTCATGTGTATTTATCCTGCTCACGTTTTAAGGACCTCTTTGTTAATAAAGGTCTGTTTCAACTCAGATTTTCTGCAGTCATGATAATAAAAAGTAATTGCTCTTTTTCCTGGGGAGCCGAAGTTCAAAGAGCCCCTTCCCTCGTCAAACCCTTTCAGGCTCACCAACGTCTCAGTTAGTAGCACCGTGTCTATGATCTTCTCCCCTCCCCCATTCCTTCCTCAGGAGTTGGCCAAGGCTGAGGCCAAACATTTCATCATCCTGTTCCGTGACTCCCAGCTCCAGTTTCGCTCCCTCTACGGCTACTCCCCGGATTCAGAGGAGCTCACTAAGCTCTACGGTGTCGGGCCGAGGCACATCACGCACAAGATGTATGAGAACCTGTACAAGTGAGTAAAAAGGATTCATTCCTCAATGTACTTAGCACAAGTTGTAAATTATTCGTCGTGACCCAACCTAACGTAATGAGTCCCAAGCACCAGAGCCACGTTCTGAGTGATACATTAAATTGTAGAGGTCTATTTGCTTTTTTGTAACACAAACTATTGAAGAAAAATTTCTAAAAAGACTGGCCTTAAACTTTGTTTGTGGGATCCCATCGCAGGTATGTAGTTAAGGCACTCAGTGTAGTTGATAGAATTAATCAAACTAATGTTGTCACTGATGCCAGTATGGTCAGTATAATATGGTACCATCTCCTGGTACGACTTTTCAGTGCATTTTCTGAAAGGGAGGCTTGGTACCAGGTAGCTAATCAGTTTCCATGCGTAGGCACTTAGGGGTGGAGTTTTGTGTCAGCCAAAATAGACACTGATTCATTTGTACACAAATTTTCCTCTGTTGCCATTCATTATTATTATCATGGCTTCAAAGGTTAAGAATCATTTGGTTTCCAAGGATGTGGATCAAGGGGATAGACAAGGTATTTTTGTAGGATGTCAACGTCAATCTACTATCGTAGGACACTATTTTTCTTTGCATTTGGCAAATCACCCTATTGGTTGAAGAGGCACGTAATGCGTGCATACCACCTGTCCACGAGCATTGTGCCACTGCAGTAATGGCCTCTCTAATTCTGGTTGTCAAGTTAAACTATACAATGAATTTTCTTTCATTATGTGGGTACACTGCTCTTAGTTCAGGACATAAATATGGAGAAATATCGCCATCTTGTTTCAATTTTGATATCATGCCTTTTAAAAAAATTTTAACTTGTCTTGTTTAAATTTTCTAAAAATTTATTCAGGTACAATTCCGGTAGCAAACAGTTTAGCAAGATTCCTTCCAAGACCATGTCAGTGTCGGTGGATGGGCTGACTATCGGTGCCTCCTATTGGCTGAGTAAAAAAGGCCCTAGCAAGAAGAAATGAAGGAAGAACTTAGCACCTAGCCTAAGCCCCCTGGGTATTAGGAGAGAAGGACACGCATCGTTTCTTGAAGTCATACTTCCCCTCTCCCTGCCTAAAGACTTCTGAATAGCAGCATAACACTGTGTCAATTCTGCTTCACCTCCAAGTTAATATTGGATGTCCATAGAGCAGTGCTTGATATCCAAATGTAAAACCTCTGCATGTGAACCAATGAGAAGTCAGTACCCTTCACTCGTTCATTGTGGAGATGCATACTGCCCTCTATGGTTTCTTTGCAGAGCTTATAGCACTTACAAGTTGTTCCCATGCATTGGCCCCTCTTCCAAGTTTTCTCACAGGTTAAAGTGTGCCAAAAAAGTATACAGAAAGATGGCCGTTTACCGGGATGCAATAGAATTGGTCATTTTATCAGCAAGAGTGGCATGTTGGAAATTAAAAAAAAAAGGAAACTGCAAAGAAGCTATTAAAGTGATTTCTTGGTTTTTAAAATTGTTTTCCTGGACGGATTTTTTTTCCACTGGTACACACACATTCTTTCAAGTGCCGTATAGTATATAAACTGAATAACATCTATTAACCACATTATATTGTATTTAAACATTATACTACGCGTACATATTACAGTCAGTGCAATGTTATATCTGTGTGATAACTGTCAGTTGGTATTGTGGAAAGTGGTTGGATGGTGGTTGAAAAAGTTATGTATTATCAATTCTGCTATCAAGAGTCCTGCTATGGACACGGTGCATTGTTTGTTAAAAACTTGAAATACTTTGCCAAATAACATATAGCTAAACAGAGCAGTTGTAAGCCACTATTTACCTACTGTTATAAGACTCAGAATATAGCATGGGTGGCATTGTTCAGCTAAAACAAAATATTTTGGGGTGCTTTACGGGACTCAGTTGGTATTTTTTAGAGGCATTTCTCAGGTAGGTGCCTTCTTTGCCTTTCTGGTCGTTTTGGTGTTTGAGGAAACCAAACACTGTACAAGTCTCCAAGTAGCAGCAAAATTCTTCAGTTAGGTTGCCAAACATTACATGTAACTCCTAATCGGGATATTTGGTCGAGTAATTAATATGAATACCATTGGATTTGTTCAGCATCTCTTCCATGGGTGGAACTTAAAACCCTTCAAATAGAGAACGAGATTGCATGTGTTCCTGAGCAAGATACTTGACCACAATTTGCTTTTGTCAACCCAGGGCTATACTACTGCAAAGGGTCAAGTGAGTTGTTTAATATAAGAAACTATCATGGCAAATGAATATATGCAGCATGACACAAGGTTGATTTTTATAGTGTGGCACCATTTGAAGATTTAAGTTCATACCAGCCAATAAAACTAGAGATCTACATTACGTCATAGTGTGTGCAGGTTGCATGTATGTAGCAATGAGAGTATCATACATGCATGCAAATTCAGTGGACAAAAAAAGGATCCCGAATTGATTGCAGAGAATAACATCACTCTGGAAAATTGAGTTAGTTTCCCTTTCCGCTATTTTAATGGCAGATGTCACATCATTGAAGCAAAGAATACAATCATTTCAGTCCTAATCCATTTTTCCTTATACATGTAATCCCCGCCATTGTACAAACCCCTGATATCTGAACATTTCAGCATTATTTATTGCTTTAAAATAATTTATTTTACTTTTTGGCAGTTTGTTAACAGAGGTGAATGAGCTGATTAATATTTATAAATTTACTTAAGAATGCATTATAACAGAATAAAACTTTTGTGAGCTTTTACAAATCAAAAGCCTTTTATCTTAAAAATCAACAAAGTTGAAGGAGTATCAGTGCTTGATGTTATCATTGAATCTTTCAGAGTCCAACACCAGCATGAACCAATTTGCTGAGCAGTGGAAATATTGTCTTAGCAAAAGCAGGTTACTAGCCAAAACTTCATGTAGGGTACAGATATTGTTTCGAATTAGTTCCCAGCTGAATTTTGCTTAGCACGTATTTCTGCCTGGTAGCTCTGCAACATTTGTACCATGTCCAGTTTACATTGTGCTATAAGCAGGAAAAATCCTTGCCTAGCAAATGTCTTTTTTTTCTGGAGATCAAACATCAGCCCCAATTGAAGATTGCATATTAAACAGTTTGGCCAGTTGCTAATCTTTGCTTAGCAATTTTTTAGGTATTTAGCAGATCTTTGTACTTGCTATGGGAAATCCCCCTTGACTTGATAGGATTTTGATTGCTGCAGGACTGGCAAGCCCAGCAACTGTTATTTCATATTAGATGTTCAAAGTAAGAAACAAGTATCCCTGCAAACCTTTCATAAGTCTATCACAAGTCATCCAGTCTCTATTTATGTTACATGCTATTCAAATCAAGTCGTCACCGTTTTCACAAAGAGACACTTTGGCTCAAAATCATGACTTTTTCAAAGGTCTGTTTTTTGGCAATATTTAATAGGCTCTGCGGTGCCAACAACTTGGGTGTAATCATTTTTACCAAATCTACTGAAATCAGCCAAATCATGAATATTTACCCGGGAAAATTTCAACTAAACCACATTTTGCGTGTTCACACAGGTGAATTTTTTCTTCCATAGATATAGTGTTAGCAATAAAGGCCAAAGTCATGGGTAAACTTGTTTTGCCATTTTCATGAAGAGGCAAATTTGATGCCAGCAATGTATACAAATTCAATAATTTCTCACTTGCCATGTGCTATAGCAAAATTGCACACATTTTCACGAATAGTTAAAAGTCGCCTGAATTTTAGTGTTCTCATGAAGAGGCAAATTTGTTTACTAAATAAACAATTCTTATTGACTTCTATAATATTTGGCAGTTACGTCATTTAAGATACCCCGTCATGCAGCAGCATTGGTCAAAGGCAAAGTCAAAGGCGTGATAAATACAGGGGAAATAAGCATCTGAAAGAGTATCAACTTAAGATGCAATTTTCTTGAAACCTAGATTTTACTCTCCAGTAAGAAATTTGTGTTTTTGTGAAAACGGTGATGAAGTGTGACATGCATTCCATTGTCATGGACTGTCATCCTGTTACTTGACTGGACTTGTGAAGGACCTTGTGATTGGACTTGTGCATACAGCCTGTGTTGGACTTCATTACATTGCTGGTTCCCTGCATGGAGTTGGCATTTGGAGGACTTGGGCAAGTGACCAGCTATTAAACTTCCTACTGACAAACTCTTGTGGGGACAACATATTAAAAAATTCTACAAACCTAGTAGTTTGGTTGGGTCGTAGGATAGACTTGTTCTAGTTCGTTGAATTTCCAGATTGAAAATCATCAGAATGTTAAGTGTTTAAAGTCCATTCCTTTTGACTAAAGAGTATAAATTCATGCATTTTAATTCCTACTTCAAAGACCTTTCAACAAAGTTCTGATTGCTTCTTCAAAAAAATCTGTTCCTTTTCTCCTACAAAGCTAGAAAGAGATATGTGTGTACAAAATCATAGGCTGTCTACCCCAGTTTGCAGAGACTGTGGTTGACAAGTTGTTGAAAATTATAAGAGTGTTTATCTAAATTGCAAGATAAATTCAAAATTTAAAGCAAATACTTTTCCTCATTGAAGTTAAATGATTTTTTTGTTCAGGGTTTGATTTTTTAAAAAGGCATTTGTATATAATGCAAGCAAATTACGGCAAAACTTGTAGAGATGTGTAGGTGACAGAATAAAAGAAAATGTGGTATTTGTCAGCTTTACACTTTGCTTCTCTGTATATAATTTGTTAACGGCTTGGCCAAATAAAAGTCTGTGATATTATTCACCCTTCTGTGAAAGTTGGTTTTGTTTCTGTGAATTTTTATCCCTGTGTGTAAGGCCTGATAGGCACATTTATAAAAAGAACTGTTTGAATCCTTGTTAACAGATGTCTACCAGCCATTTGAAAAAGGGTTCCCTTAGGTTTTCTCAAAATTTCATGAATTCAACTCTGTAACCACAACTTCATTTAATATTGAGTGGAGCCCCTGGCCAGATGGGGCTGTCTGTCCCTGGTAACCAGTTATTCTTATGACATAATGGTGAACTGGTGCCATTAACCCTATAACCCTAATAGTCCCAAATCCTCTGATTTCAATATGATTTCGCATACACCTTAGGGGGTTAGGGTTAATACACTGTCACTTTTCACAAGTAGTTCCCTAACCCCCACCCTCCTTCAAACTACAAATATGTATGGAGGGAAATGGGAACCAGCCTTTTTTCCACTTGGGGGCTTCACCTCACCTTCCCTGGTAAGCATCTTTTTCAAAATACATGTATACACTGTAAACAACCAGTGTAATTAAAAAACTGCCCTCGGTAGTGCATGCATTAAGCAATGACAGGCCAAGCTTAATCTGTCTTGGATGTCTTCGGTGTTTAAAAGTGCTTACTCTCCAAATCAGCATTTGAAATTGTTAGTCTACAAAATTGCACACATTCTGTACTTTTTGGCAAGAAACTTTGATAAACAGCAAATACAATAAATAACAGTCCAAGAATCTCATTAAACATAAATCATCCAATATAATCAACAGTTAATAACTATTAACAAAAAAAACACGAGTACTGCTGTTAGTCAAATTACTGAGGGAGGTGAACGGCCCAATCTACACCTGTTTCAGATGTTTGTTGATGTTTAAGGGGCAAAATTTCCTGAAATGACTCCTTCAGACAGTCCTTGTAAATCTCAATTATTTCCGAAGCTTCCCACCAAATGTGGAAACCTATAGAAACACACAGATTTTCAGTGAATCTAAATGTATACATAAACTATTTTCAGGATATGCTTTTATTGTCTTCCTTCCTCAATGCTCCTACCAACTGGGAAATCTGAGATGTACATGCTGACTGGGTAGAGGCTAACTGCTACTGTACTTCCCCTCGGTGGATGCTAGCAGAGTGATGACCACGTGGTCATCTTTACCCTGCCACAGCATCTCCCCTTCAAAGTCCACCAGCCCCTGCTTGCGGGCCCTCAGAAGGATCCCCACCAGCTTGTTGGAGATCTTGACGTAGACCTCGAAGAGCCTCCCGAAGGTGACCCGCGGCCTGGGGTCATCTTTACCGCCCAGCTGCCCAACCCGCCCGATGACGTCAATCAGGGTCTGGATCTCACCCGAGATGCGCTGGCCAGCTGCCTGGCCCCGCTTGGCTGTCATGGAACCTGCCACAGGCTGGGCATACTCTGGGTCATCTGGGCGAAGCTTGGCACGGGTTGATGCCCCCTCCCACTCGGAGAAGGGGTTGATGAGCTGCTTGTCCTTGTGCTGTTTCTCCACTTGCTTCCAGAGTGCAATTCTGTTGCCGACTGGGGCATTGTTCAGACTGTTTTCATCCTCCGACATCTTCACCGACACTGTTGAGGGTTTTGCTCCAACACTACACCATGATAAAATCTACAATTTAAATAAACAGAAAGACACTAAATATGGTTTGGCTAACAGTGGTGAAATGATTTTCAAAGTGGGGTGGGGGGGAGTGCATTTGTGAGACCATCAAGACTCATTATTAACAGCGTGATCTGCACAGGATAGTAACTGAAGAAGATGGAACACTATCATAACAATATTATGCACATTTCTGAGTTGAATGTACTATGAGATGAAATAAAGTAAATGCAACCCAATAAAAGTAATAAAAAAGAATTATCCTACAACGACAAGTCAGTATTAATGTTCGATTACTGATGCATCATCCTCTTGATCATGTTTGTTACGTTTATATGTTTTTTTTTCACTAAAAACCACTAACTACACGTCACGATCAATAAATCATGCTCATTCTCTTCACAATGGCATGATAACTAGGTGACATTAGGTTTTACTTTCAATAGCAATATATCCCATTTCCTGATCAAAGGTTCATCTTCGCATCCCCCTGTATGTAGCTTGTTTCTATCCCCTCGGCAACTCACAGGATTTTGGCATCTTCGTTTTGTTTATCAAAATAATTTGATGTACTGACACGACCCACTAACCCGGAAGAAATTCGGTTCAACCTGACGTGTCCCAATCAATATCTAAATAACAAGTAGTTCGCGTCAGCTGTTTCCAATCCCCAATTTTATTACATGTGTACAATGAATTACTTTCTCCCTGAATTGTAAATTAAATGTATTGTGGTGAAGGAAAACGCGGAAATGAACTGTTACAGATGTTTTTGCCAACTAATTTCTTCATTTCGATCTATCAGTTGTAAAATAAGATTTGCCGGTTCGTTGGGTGCATCCCATGTGTGTACTTCGAAGCCTTTCACAGGCGCAAGTGCGGGTACCAACACATACATGTACTACCGTACTTGGTCGACATGGTTAAACTTAACTAGACTGCACTGACACGCAGTAGACTCGTTGCAAAATGGAAGAGCTCAATAGATTTTACTGTGCGGTTTTCGCTCTTTTTATAATATTCCTTACTTCTGAAAATAAATTTGTCACCGGATACTCAGGTATGTATAGTCATGCTATGTATTATTCATGCCATTTGTGTACTTTATTGCTTAATTGTCGGTACCTGTCAGAAAAACCAATCGCTTGTTAACTTTTTCCGCAATTTTGCGGGAAAAAACATTCCTTTTGCTATTTTTTTTCTTCTTCTTCTGCCTCCAAACCTATTCGATTTGTACACGTTTCATCCGCCATCCATTTTAGTCGTTTTGCAACGTTGGATATCAAGTTTACATCAATGAAGGACCATTGTGCATACATGGTGTAGATGGCTTTCGAGTCAACTCTACCTTGGGTGACTTGTACCTTGGATGGTTTCGAGTCAACTCGGACCCAAACCAACTTGGACCCATGCCAACTCGGACCCACGACCAACTTGGACCCATGCCAACTCGGCCCCAATACTAACCTGGACCCACGACCAACTCGGACCCACAACCAACTCGGACCCAATACTAACTCGGACCTACGACCAACTCGGACCCAATACTAACTCAGACCTACTGTANTGCACTTTTGCACTGCATGCTGCTAAGATGTAACATCCTCTCTACTACACGTTATGCAGGGAAACAGCACAGGCTTCCCAGAATTTCTCCGTTTTCGAGTTTAAACAGGCATGGTGTCATAGTGTTCATAGTGTCTCATGGTGTTATCCCCCACCTCACTTTTCAAATTATTTTGGCCTGGCAAGTCTCACACCTCCACCTTGCCCCAATCTCCCCTCCCCCCCGCAAAATTTAGGCAGATGGAGGAATTCATCCATACAGGCCTAAACTGACTGTCCAAATAACGCAAATAGGTAGGTAATTTCGAACAACACAAATCAAATCATTTTAAAATAAAAATGTGGAATATATTGTCTTAAATTGGAGACAGTTTTGAAGCGTCGTATGTCTGCTCGTGATCCCACATTTTGTGTTTTTTTATTTTTTACAACAAGACCTGCCATTATCACGAGGGATTATAGAATTATTCATATAAATCCCGAATTTGGGATTGATAGTTTCCGGTTTGGAGTATTTCTTTCACAAAAAGCCCCACAATGTGGGTCTATTTTGGATAGAGGCGGGCCCCTGCATTCAGAGCTGAGTGCACAGTTATACTACTATAAGGGGGGTATCTTCGGGAAAAGGTGAATAAAAGTTCATAAAATTGAAACGAAAAGTAATCGATCTGGCCATAATCTTGAATTTCCAGTGGAAAAAAAATCTTGAATTTCCAGCCAAAAAAATGAAGGCCAACCTATTCACGAGGTTCAAGAGTCAGCGCTATTTTGGTCTATTCGGTCTACGGGTATTTGGTGTAGTGCAACCATGAGACTCAGTGGGTCCGAGTTGACTCGAGGTGGGTCTGAGTTGGCGTGGGTCTGAGTTGGTTGTGGGTCCGAGATGGTCGTGGGTCCGATTTATCATTGGGTCCGAGTTGGCATGGGTCCGAGTTGGTCTGGGATCCGAGTTGGCATGGGTCAGAGTTGGTTTGGGTCCAAGTTGACGTGATCCCCCTTGGATGACTCGTACCTTGGACAACTGGTACCTCAGACAACTCGTACCTTGGGCCAACTCGTACACTGTACCTCGAGTTAAGACCACTCGCATGACTTATACCCTTGTGTTATCAATTCAGTTTGAACTTCCTTGCTCTTCCTTTCCAGCATGTTTAAGATGAGAATTGACAAACAAATCAAAATCTTTTGAGCGCCAGCATGATTTTCTCCATAGTGCCTGCCGTAGGTGTTTGCGCCGTCGGTTTACGTGACGGATGTCGAACAACCCGACCGTTCACCAAATTGAGTTTGTTATTAACATTCTTTTTTTGGAGGGGGACTTTACTAAACCCTAAATTATTTTTGGGGGGGAATTCAATTTTTTCTTATGGCTCTGGCATGTCTGGGAAAGCGTTATTGGACTTTTTCATTTTGTGGGAGGATGATGATTTTGTTGAGTAACTTTTTGGGGGTGTACTTAAATAAAACTTGTTATGTTTTGATTTCTTTTGGAAATGTTTCTGGTCTTGTTTTTTAATTTTGGGGGGGTGGTTGCCTTCCTGAATAAAATTCTTTTTTTTTTGGACAAGTTTTGGACAACTGACATTACTTTATAAACTTTGAAGTAAATGAAACATGACATCACTCCATCATCACTGTGGACCGCACGGTGAAGATTCTGAATTGCACGTAACAATGGCTGGCCATGTTGGTTGCCTGACTGCGTGTTCACATTCACAGCGTCGATTTGTCTCACACTGATGTCATTCCACTGGCATGTAGGGAAGGCAGTGTAGCCAAAACGGCAAATTAGGTGACGAACACATGCCTAGGAAATCAAATTATTCTTCAAATTAATTACAATTATAATAAGCTCTGATTTCTGTGAAGGTGAGAGTTGTCTTTACTGGAGGTACGAGTTGTCCAAGGTGTGACTCAGCAAAGGTACAAGTTGGTACAATTATGTTGAGTTGTCCATGGTACGAGTTGTCCAAGGTACAAGTTGATCTGTTCCTGTTGTAGACTGCTTCCTAAACAGTAAGGCACTACTCTGTACGTCTTTCCACCATTTTGATGGTTTTGCATGCTGTGGCATTTTGAAAGCTGCCCAGCAATCGTACCAGATAAAACATCCATTTGTGCTCGCTTAAGCAAATCTTCCCCTGATGACCCTTACATTGAAATTCTACCTATATCGAACTGCCGGGTTAAAGTATATGTTGTAGCCTTTAACCTATATTATTGTCAAAAAATGAGGGTTTTTTTAAGAAAAATAGGGGTGGAACTTTCAGCAGTAAAAAAGAGTGTGCTCGCTTCCACTTCTCTCTTAATAGCCTCTCTTCGTTTCCTCCTCATTACCCGTCCATCTGTCTTTCTTTCCTTGACATCACCACCTCTTTTTTATGAGGATTCTTTCTTCCAGGCTGAGATTAGAACCTCTTTAACTTCTGCTAGTCTTGATTATCTGCTCCTGGTCTAGACCGCTCAACCTAGCAGGTTGTTGCCAGAAGAGGTCAATTTATTTTTTTTAACACTTAATGTAATATGATAATAAATATGTTAATGGTAATTCAAGATATTAAAACAAAGGCATGAACATGTTAAATTTTAAACAACAAATTTTTTTTTTTTTAGTTCTTGTTACGAGTGAGGTACATTACATGTATTAAAGTAAAATCTACCTGGGAAAATATTGAAGAACTTACAGTCTCATAGGGTTTGTTCACAGGGTGTCAAGCGATGCCTGGGTATGAGACTCTTTCCGATCTGTCTCGTAAGGCACCATCTTTGTAGGAAAATTATAGCTGTGTTTTCAGCACCGTCAGGTGCGTGTGTGTGTGCAGTGTTCTATGCATGTGTGCATATTGATCCAAAATACATGTACATGTATCTTCAAAATGTGGTGCAGTTAATGTGCATTTAGTTTTGATGTCCAAAATAACCGTTAAGCCTGATTTCCATATCGACGTAAAGAGATGCAGAGTGCATTACCAATCAGTTTCCAACCAAGCCAGTGATACGCAATCATGTAGCAACACTTGATTGTTACTGACAAATCCAGGGACAGCGACTTGCCAATAGGCTGCATTGAGTTGCCACAGTAGGCATATACAAACATGCACGGTGGCATGACAGGCATACAACAATGTCTCTGTCACTTAGTTCCACTAATTTAGCCCACTTTTCCTTATTACTGACACCTCATGCCCCAGTTGTCAACAAAATGTCTGACCATAAACAAAATACATGTGCTTGGAACTGGAGTATACATGTACATGTACATGTAAGTCTGGCTTCAAGAGGCAGTATCATAACCTTAAGGAAAGGCATTTTATGCGAAACTTTTCTGAGTTTCTGATGGCAAGTGGTTCAACTTTTTTGGTGGAATGGCATCGCACAGTATCTCTTCCATGATTGTCCATGTCTTGACATTTTGCATGCCGTCGATGTTCATTACGACCATATGGAAGCTAGGCTTTACACTGGCAGCAGCAAACTTAAATTTTAAAATGGGCCTGTTGAACTAAAGTTTTAACATCCACAGTATCTAAAGCTGACAGCCTGAAAAGGTGTGAAGCTGTTCTGATGTCCTCTGACAAGAGATTCCACTTAAGAATTGTTCTCAGATAGGAGTATTCAAAACAATCTTTGTTAAAAAGTAGGTCACTACGATGAGTGCTGGCCACACAACCTATTGCATTGTTTTGAACTGTTATGCTTAACTGGTCGATGCTAAATGCTTGCATGCAGTGCCTACAAACGACTGAATTTTGCACTGTAGTGGTAGCTTACTTTCAGTTTTCAGTTTTGCTTCAAATTTCATTTCTCCTTCTTTCCATTTTGAAGATTTTGAGTATGACTATGTGACCTGTGGATCGATCGTCAAACTCCTCAACACAAGACACAATGTGAGGCTACACTCCCATGACATACGATATGGGTCAGGCAGTGGGCAACAGGTACATGTATGGACTGTCAGTGTGTGTCAGTGTCATTTTGATCATACCATCCACATTTATGTGTGTCCTTTTTGTTTTTCTGATTAAAATCAGACGGAACCGAACAGTGTTAGTTGTTTAGCATGTTTGAAGCCTACAGGGGAAAAGCTGTTGCGGAAATAAATTCTGCAGAAAGGATGTAGGTTGCTGAGGCTGCTCTGTACTTATTTAATGTATTGTACATGTTTACTGAATGTTGCAGGCTGGTTGCCTTTTCAAGTAAAGGTTTGTATCTCTTTGTTTATTGTTTCAGTATCGAGTACCATGTGCTAAAAAGTTGTTAAAGTTTCTACGGGCTTATATGTTTCTTAGTGTGCTAAGAACTTACAATGTCCATTTGAAAGTGGACATAAGGTTCTACTCAGCCTAAGACCTATCTCGTGATGTGTTTTAGGCTGAGTAGGACCTTGTGTCTACCCTCAAATGAACCTACAATGTTTAGTACCTGCCTTGTAGGTCTGTACCAGATATTCACTTGATTTTTCAATTAGTTCAGTTTGCTTTTTCAAACGAAATATTTGAAGGTAAAAGTCAAATAAACAAGGACAAATTATTTGGTTTCAAAATTGCTTTTTAAAGTTATATTTTCAAAGTATAAAGACTAAAAGCAGATGATGCAGGTGCGTATCATATTGCCTCACAGTAAGGCCAAAATTACTCTTCCAGATTTTGTAACAATGGAATAAAATCTCCCAATGGGAGTAAACATCAGATGGACTCCTATTCTCCCTTTTTATTTAAAGTATGGGGGTAGATCACTGTCCAGAAACTCAATGAGGTACTATGTAGACCACCACACCAACATGCATACATTGTTGGTGCTCTTGTGATAATTAGGTTTACCTGAATATTCAATCAAATAGATTGAGAATATTTGAATAATCAATTATTCGCATTTGCTCTTCCTTAATGTTGTGATAAACAAATGGTCAGCCTTTCAAGCTTGTCTGTCCTAGTTGCTCAAAGTTCAAATATGAATGCATTTATCAAAACCTGAGAAATCACATTAAAAATTTTAATTCTTTTATTAACCTAGTGTTTCATTGCTCTGTAATATTTTCTTCTATTCGATTTCAGTCGGTGACAGGAGTTGAAGCAGCTGCAGACAAAAATAGTTATTGGCAGGTCAGAGGTCAACAGACTGAGCCTTGCACCAGAGGGTAAGCACAGACATACATGTCAAGAACATTATTTAAAATGACAGGAATTTTTTTTTTGGTAGGTTTTACAGTTGGGGGCAGTGGAAGTTGAGATAGTATCTTGCAATTCTTCAGTCCAATTTTAGAATGATGGGTCACACTTCTGGGGTATATGTATTTAGAAATTGAATGATTAGAGCTTAAATAAATTAACATGTCTCTCCTAAGCACATTTTCTCTGTTAGCTAATTTCCATACTGTGGTTTATGAGAAAGCCCTGAAGGTTTTAAAATGTAAATTTTTAAAACTCATTTGCTGATGCAGTACACCGGTGAAGTGTGGCAGTACAATCCGGCTGATGCACGTCGACACCAGAAAGAACCTCCACAGTCACCATTTCTCCTCGCCGCTCTCGCACAACCAGGAGGTCAGTGGCTTTGGCGAGGATGGGGTTGGAGATGACGGTATGTTGATCTTGAGGCCGGACATGCTTTTACTTTTCTCAGATTATGGATCTGCAGACTATTTTGGAGGGAGGGGAACAAATGGGAGGAGGGCCAGATTTTATTTATTTCATATTTCACTGAACATTGCAGAATAGGCTGAACTGGGCAAAATCAAACCTAGGTGTCTAATTACACAGTCCTGCCTTTAACCACCGAACCGCACGCTGACTTGGTTTCACCACAGTGAGTTTGACCTTGTTTGACCATTCTGAAACAGCTAATAACAAGAGTTACAGTTCACAACAGTGTTGGTGTACTTGAACTCGTACGAACCCTAACCCCATAGGGACCATTGAAATCCTGCATAACCTTGTTGGGTTCAGCATGGTTAGGGCTAAAGGACTTTCTGGTATACGTACGCATAAAAATGTACTTGACTGCCATGCTGGATTACAGTATCACCACACAGCCAGAAAAGTTTCAAGTGTCTTATGATTCTCTAGCCTGTTGCCAGTCGCTTTGTGCACCAACTTAGTGAGACAGAGCAACAGCTGACCTTGATACAGAAGTGGACTTTTAAAAATAGTTATGCTGTCCTCTGATTTAGCCTCCTTTCTACCATTGAGTAAAATATTGGCACTTTTAGCAACTGCAGACAAGCTGTTTGTTTTCCCATGTTTGTGTTTTATTTTAACCCACCACCCAACAAAAAAAGTTGCTTACTGTGTCTGCTATATGAGACAGAAATTCAACAGAGAAGTGATAGAAGTGTGGGCTAAATATTTGAACATTGCATGCAAGTTTCACTCAACATTTACCACATTAACCCTCCCATGCAAAGATACATTCTTGACACAGTTGTCATATCAACTAAAACACCAGAATTGATGCTTTGGTGTTTGCAGGTGACAACTGGGTAGTCACCTGCTCATCAACCCACTGGAAAAGGAACGAACCTGTCAGATTCAAGCATGTCGTTACCAACAGGTGAGGACCTGAGGCCAGTCAAAGGAATAGATTTGCCATTACTTTTTAGTGTCAAAGCGAGTCAGGTTGTGTGAGGTGTTTAATTCAAATGCATCAGTGGACCCTGCCGCCGATTTCCCAAACTTTACACAGCTTCACTTTGGCCAAACTTTATTGCATTAAGTCTGTGGATTGTGCAACAAAATATGGCATAACTCATGCACTGTACGCTGAACGCTGATTATGTTCGTATGAGACTCAACTTTATTTAACCTAAAGAGGATGATATGAGAAATGTGCAACTTAGTTTTTTTGCGGTAATGAAAAAAAATTGTTAGGCTGTGAGAGAACTTGGAGATTTTCTGCCCATTCCGATGAAGGAAAGACAGAAAGTTTTTCAAGGTGAAGGGTGGGGCTAACTTAATAACTGTTTAATGACTGCTATAATACTGAAAAGAAACAGCCGTTAAAGAAACTGTGATCGTCCTTGTTCAAGTGGGTTAATAATAAAATTGAAACATTGCACAGCTAAGCAAACTCTCCTGAAATGGACTGGTAGGAAGATTGTGTGTTCTTGTCACTTAATTCAATGCCATCAATCATCAGATCCAATTTTAATCTTGTATTGAACAAGCAAAAGAGCAAATATTGCATAATATAATTGTAGCTGCACCAGAGATTTTTGGCATAAGACTCGTAAATGTGCGAAGAAGCTCCAGGATTTGATAAAATCAGCTGCTGGCCCCAATTTAACAGAGCTCAGTAGAAAAATTCTGCTTAGGAAGTTTATGTGCTAACCAGAAATCAGCTGAGATCCAGGTACAACTGACATACATCTAAGGTCATTTTGGTGGCTGTGGCTGCTTAGTAGGTACTTTCTGCACTGAGCAAATTTCTGTCCTTTGCAGTGAAAGTAAATCGGGCTTTGTTTGAAGAGACTGTTTAATGCATGCTTCTGCTGTGAGGTTGGCCATCTCTTGGTTTGTGTGCAGTGTCGTAAAAGAGTTGCTTTGCAGGCAGCAACCAGCAACATGAGCCACTTTTGTTCCCAGTCTTGAACCTACTAAATGCCACACACAAACATGCACGTTTTGGTACCAGCACCACTTTCACCATAAAAACATAGGCAATTTCTGTCCCCGTGTCATTGATCACAGCTACCTGACTGTGTCTGGTGACGTGTACGGCCGGCCCATCCACGGCCAGCGGGAGATCTGCACAGTGCCCAACGCCAACCAGTCCAACCAGTGGAAGGCCATGGAGGGCGTTTACATCAAACCGACGGAGACCAACGGGCGTGACTGACTAGACGGGGAGAAAGAACTCCACGACGAGTTATGATGATTGTCAAAATTAATTTGGGGAAGGCATTTCCATGGAAAGTTAGCTGTTGAAAAATGGGATCTTGGTGTGTGTCTGTAAACAAAATAATTGATTAACATATCAAAGCGTACATATCTCCACTGTTTACAAAGTTGGTTCTTTTGCTTCACATTCTGTGTAGCACTAGTATGTTCATTGCAATGGAGTGCAAACTTTCCATGGAATTGTCACACTGGGATTATCTTAGAATTTAATTTCTAGTTTCTCACTCCACAATCTGGAACACAAGAGATTAGGGCATTTATGTTTCAAAAATTTGTTGCAAAACCAGGTTGACATTGTTTGAATATTATACAGAGCCTCCAAGTATACAACTTGACAATGCATAGCTTGTTGCATAAATATGAGCGAGTTAGTCATCAAAACTGATGCAGATTTTGATGGTAAAGTAATGTTTACACGCTATTGTTTGTGATTTTTTTTTCTGTACTGTGATACGGGAGTCGCTCAAAGCCTTAAGATTGGTTGTTCAACAGAGCCATTGCATATGTGTTTTCACTTATGTACAAAGGACATTGAAGAGGGGGTTGTTTATTGCCTGGCAAGGGCAGGTGCGTGTACATGCAACAGTATCTGACTATGCTCTCCAGTGTCATTACATTGCACACGTTGTTGAAAGTTCAGAATACACACTGCACACTACTATTTTACTATTACATGTTACTGTTTCATAGTGGCAAAATTGGGCTAGCTACTGTTGTCAAAAAAAGGAATCGTTTCCCAGATCAAAATGTTACATGTAATTGTATCCGTGGCCTGTTCATATTTGAATTGGTAGGTATCATCTGAATATTTTTCTTCTTTTTTTTTTCTTTATATTTGATAAGCACTCAGTATCATTATTATTAAAACAGATTTTTGTTTTGTTTTTGACAATCTAACGGTAACATATGCTCCCATAAGATCATTGTACGCTTACTCTTTTTGCCAAACTTCTGTCTGTCAGTAGACTCCAGAGTTCTAAATATTATCTTGACTTTTGACTTGACTTTTGCACCTGTAAAGTTGAGGGTAAAATAACACAGAAATTTGTAGCTGACATCAATGTTAACTTCTCAGAATGCCAAACATGTGTTTTCTTTCTTTCCTTTTTAACACCTGTTGTTTTCACTTTTATTTTTCACCTTTGGTGGCTCTGCTGAGTTTTGCATTTGTGAGTTTTGTTTCTGTAGTGTAAACTCCAAAGTAAATTGTTTTTCCAGTTTTTAAAACAAAAGGGGAAATAGATGTGTTACCTTTGTTGAAACTTGTTTTTTTACTGCATGCGTCAATTTGAGTTTGTTGGGGTGTGGGTGTGTCTGTTAATTTTGTTACCTTTGAAAAATGGTCCTACCACTTAAACGGCTACTTTTTGCATGATTTACAAAGTTAGTAGGAGTTCGGTCACAAGAAAAGGTACCATTTTTGTATTTCTTTTTTGGTAAAACATTTTTTAATATGCTACATGATGTGTGTACATAAATCTCTTGGCCACAGATTTGGCCACGTAATGTTGACACCATGCACACGGGGGGGGGGGGGAATTTGTTGAAATTAAAAAAATAATAATGGTTTAGTGCACCTGCAGGAAAAGTTATCTTAGAGCAGCCGAAGAGTTAGTTTCTTCCACAACTCCCATATGCTCACTCGATGCGTGCTACTCAGTAAAGTCTTGACTGGAAAGTAAAAAATGCTCTTCAATTGGTGATGATTCTTGAAATAGCATCCTTTCTTGAATCAATCTCCTAGGTGGTGGTAGTTGGTGGTGAGTCAGACATTTCTCCTGTGGTTTCAAGTGTTCCTCAGGGGATGGCGTTGTGGTGTTTCGTGATACTTGCCTGTCTGTCATCGAGCTTGAGACTATTCACCGACGATTGCATTCTTTATCAAGAAGTTTTCAAATGGCATTCATGATACTGAGTGCCTTCAAACAGACACCTTGAAGACGAGGAGTTACCAGACAAGTTTAATAAAGCCAAATAATTCATCCCGAGAATCATGCACAAAAGAAATCCTATCCTCAACTGGTACACAATAGGTGATTACATCTTTGAGCAATTGAAAAACTACTGATAGGTATACTCATACCTTGGTGTGGAACTTATATCTGATTTGCTCTGGAACAGCCAACCAGATTTCAACATAAGCCAATAGGACCGTGGGTCTACTTTGTTTTTACATTAGTTGCTCTACTCTTGGAATAGCTTTGGAATATGGCTACACCGTCGTCTGTGACAATCTTGGATCCTTGCCAACAGTCCAACAAAGACACTATTGATAAGGTTAAGACGTGTATCAAGATTTGTCACGAATGACTACAGAAATGCGAAGTGGGACACTCTTAACCCAATGTCATGAACGTAGACCCACTGGAGGTCATTTACAACCACTTCAAAGCAACCCATGTCCTCATCCCTGGCAAATCACTCGTCTCACTTACCACATCCAACACTGCAAAAACTGTTTTGTTACATTCTCTCTTAATTTAACAGGCTGGTTGTTATTAGAGGCTGTGTAGTCCTCAGGTAACACCCAGTGTGTTAAATTTAAGACCACAGACTTTACTACGAATCACATTAGAAAACACCAGAGTAGGCCCCTACTAGGAGTTCACAAGCACTTTCAGAAAACGGAGAGAACTTTTATTAGAAGTCGTATCCTAAAACACTTCCTGCTTGAGATTGTTACCTCACACGACCTGCATTGTGCTACATCACGTAAGGATCACCAAGATAAGGCTTGTTGGTCTATATTATACAAATGTACCAACATTAGTTTGAACCGACTCCGTGCATTGCACCTTGGAGGAATTCCTCCCTCCAAGATTGCACTAACCATGGAGGAAGGAAACTGTCACAGTGCAGCATAGCCAAACCAGTCGTTTGTGTAGAAGCTGATGCAGCAGCATACAGAGAGAAACGAGAAACATTGTTTTGGGATAAGATTCAGAGGAGGATTTGGGCTTTTGTTCACTTCATGGGAATAACTGCCCTTTAATGATGGAGTTTGCAGACTGTACATTAAAGGTGTTTGGGGGTTCTCAATGTCAATTTATGTTGCATCACTGTAAATTATTCTACTCTTGGAACGCCGATAGTCGCTATGTTCATGGAGCTATGTTGAACCTTACTAGGTCTTGAAGGCGCCCTCTCTACTACGTAAGGGCGTCCGTGGTTAATTCTGTGATTCTCAGTTTCCGACACTTATTTTTAACTCCGATCAGAGAATAAAAAATGGTTATGCTGCTAACCCTGTCTGGAATTTTCTACAAAGAGAAAATCGAGAAAAACGATAGTTTTATTAATTTACTAATCTGGGGAAAGAAAGTATATTTGCCCCTCTTTCTTCAACAGACTGACCTCTGATTCCTCAACGTAAAATAAAGAAAACCGTAAAAAGAGGGAAAAAGAACCATTGTAGGCTCTTTGGGCTCACTCGTACGCGCTGGACTTTCTTTCGCTTCCGAACCATTTCCAAGAAATTGCAGGCTAAAGGCATGAAAAGAATTTCATCTTTGGGTTCTTTTGATAAATTTTAACGTTTTAGATAAAATCTACTAATATTCAGCGTGAAATTTGTAAAGCGAGTACTTGAAGCCCACAGTCGAACTCGGATGGTCGAAAACATTGAATTTTGAGTCTGTTTTCTTTTTAATGGGGTTAAAAAACAGTAAAAAAAAATAAAATTTAATCTTAGAAACAAGGTAGGCCAATTTCGATTGAAGAAATCAATCAATTGAGGGAATATGCTGAGTGTTTCTATGAAGCTAGAAAATTGGCATTGTTCCATCTGTATCCGTACAAATTCGTTTAGTTTATCATGAAATATTGGGAACAACTGTAAAATTGTGTTTTGACAAATACAATAATTTAATTTCACCAGGTCTTGACGAAGAAAAATGAGCCTCTAATACATTGCGCCTCACTAATGCGGGCCGTAGACATGTCATAAATAATTAACAACATGCAAATTACAGCTGCACGCTGTCTCACATAATTTGGCGCAGAAGATGCGCCCGCCGCATGTACATGTACAGTTACATGGTACGTTGTCAATTCACGCATGCTGGGCTGCGGATAGATCGTGCAGCCCATTTTCGTGGGCCGCAAACCCTCGATAAAAGGATGTCTTTCCTCCAAAACTTCACGCTTAGACGGCCCAGCTAACGCCATAATGGACTGAAACGGAATCTTACATTGCTCACTGGAAGGGACTCGTTCCGCCGAGGAACTAGCACAAAATATTTGGGAATTTTTTCTACATTGACGGTGTGAGGAGACTGAGTTAGGGGGGGACATAATCATGATGGCGACTCCACAGAGCAAGGCACCCGCGACCAAGACCGTGCAGCCGCTGGCCACGAAACCGGGTGCTGCGGCCCCAGCCCCGCCTGGGCCGGCCGCCCAACCACCCGCCGGTCCGGTTGTCCCAGAACTGGACCTATCGCACCTCTCAGAGGAGGAACGACGGCAAATTCAGGCGGTGCTGGAAAGGCAAAAACAGGAGGAGGAAAAAGAGGCCAAACTCATAAGGTGCGTGTCTTTGACTGTTTTTTTCTTTCTCTAATTAATTAATGAGCAGAAGGAATTTGTGAATGAAAAGACATAGATTATAAATTCAGGCAATATTGCCGAGGTCGCGCCAATAGTTGTACCTTCACTATCGATCGACATTCCGAAATAAATAACTGACAACTGATCAAGAGTGCATTAATAAATCTTATTGTTGTAATAGAAATAATACACAAATATTTTTTAAAGAATTTGTCCAAGTTCTTAGTCAACAATAAATCAGTTGGTTAAAACATCATAAACAAAATGCTGAAGGTTCAGCTTAGACTGAGGTCTGTATGACATCAATCCACAGATGTCAAATTTTAATGTCCTTGCCCTTTATTTTAATTTTACAAATACCTCTGTAATCAATAACGTTTGTTTGCGTGTATGTTTGTTTAAACATGCCTATTTTGTTTCAGATATCAGTGACTTTACAGTTTTCATTAGTCTCAAATTAGAATGGTACATGTATTGTCCAACATTATGGTGGAAAATTATTCTAATAATTTGATCTAAGTTAGTTAACGGTGCTATATAAAAATTGTTGTTATTTTGATTATCATATTTCAAATTACTTGTTTTATTCAGTACAGTTTAGTTTCAGAAATTCAATGTTTTTGTGTGCTTTCAATGCTTTGCTTGATGTTTCAAAACTGCATATTTTGTTGGTCTGAGCTTGTTGGAAAAATTTAATTCTTGTCGTTTGACTTGAAAAAAAAAAGATGTTATTTAGTATAAAGTTAATATTAAAGTTGTACATGTATGTTTGTTGTTGACTCAAGGTTGATGCCCGTGCACAGGTAACTTGCGTGGTAATGATTTTAGGGCCGCTAACAATTTGTTTAACTGTCATAATAATATACATGTAAGTTAATCACACGGATAATCTGTAGTCTGAGATTTGATATGTACACACTAGGAACCTTCCTGTACATGGAAATCATTTTGATCATTTCCAGGCAACTTGTAACATGTTGAAAACAGGTTCATGAGCACTCCTTTTACAAGTTCCTTGCATATTGGTACTAGTAGAAGAAATGATGGATTAGGAATTTTTCCTTTTAAGTTGGTGCTTCCATTTTGGATTCTTTATCCCTTCATTTACAGACAGTTTCCCCACTTGTGCAAACCCCACATTCATGCAATGTTGAAAAACTCCACCTGCCATTAATTTTCTGGCTGAATGAGCAGTTACATTGTAAATTTATATGATTGGGATACTTGTACATGCAACTCTGTTTCCATTTTATTCCAACATCCCAAACCATAAGACCAAACATAAATCCAGGCTTCTAAATTGCCTTTGAAGGAATTTCACTTGCACTAACGTTATGGTGGGACTGTAGAATTAGAGAATAATTACGCCCTTGTACAATATTTTTTGTAGATTTTTTCTATGCTGCAACTCTCACAAATGAAAGACCTGATGAGTCAGTATTTGTATTCATGTACCAGCAGAAATTTCAAAGAGGAATTAATGAAAAAAAATGGATGATACTCCTGATCCATATGCCCAAATCACACAAAAATAGTTAAACCTATGCCCGTGTCTCTCTTCTGTTCCTGATTCATTTTACATATGGAAGCTTTTAATAGTTTCAAGGTAACATTGGCCGGTGTCTAAAGCTTTTTGGCCTTTTACGGGAAGAATAGAATGGGAAATTTCCAGATGAAATCCAATCAGGCCTTGACATTTCTCAAAAAGTAAACTTTCTCTGTGATGAATGCTTGTTGTCTCTGCTATTTGTGTGAGGTGCATGGACGCCTCATACCACTTTCTTTTTTTTCGTGCGCCCGTCTCGGGGTACATTCTTCTGGAGCAAAATCACAGCTACATGTACATGTAGTTTGTTACAGGTATAAATGCAGTTTGGATATTCCACTATGAGGGAAAAAACAAGTTGAGTTTCCAAGCTGTCCGTGCTTGTGTGTGGAACTTCATCCTCCTAGGCTACAGGTGAAATTACATTAGGTGATGCTACACCTGTATCTCCACATAAACTATTGTGTGAATCCAGTATGCATGGTGCAGTTCACCCAATCTACACCATTATCTGTGAGCCTTCTTTTACATGATTCCCTCCCAATAAACTTCCCCTAATAGTTAAAAGTGTCCATGTTTTTATGGAACAGTAACCCTTTCCTTCGAAGCATGAAAATTGCAAGCTGACATCGACTCAGTTGCGCTGATATCAAAGAGCGTCATTTGAAGCTTTCAGTTTTTATAACAAAACTTTGAATTATAATGATTGGCATCAATTGCCTTCTGTACACACACACCTGTAATATGCACATTTATATTTATCCCTGAATGACAGACTTTCATGTTTCACTCTTGCTGCCGTTCAATTCTTGTTTCAATTATCTCTGTTTTGCAAAAAGAAAAAAAAAGTTGGGAAAAATTGCTGGTAAAACCAGCCAGTGTCATCCTCCAAAAAGGGCAAAGGGCCCCAATGCACAGAGTCATGAGTTTAATCAAATTGTCTAATACCCTCCGTGTGGTTGATGAGGCTTGGTGACATTGGAGTGTGTGCTCCTCTCTCCTGTACATGAGCCTCCTATAGGCTCATTTGCATATGGACGTCTGGAGCTTAATTTGCATATGGATGTCGTCGTACTTGAGCTCTCTCTCTCTCTGTTTCCTACCCTGAATCATGCTTCAGATGATCAGTGTCTGATCATCAGACAGTGGCCACTCAAAAATAAAATGCTGTTTAGGGGAGCTCCTTTTTTTCCTGAACCTTTCGTTGAGAGAAAAACTGAGTGCCTTGAGGTACACATGGAATGTGTTTTCTTGTCGTGTTTATGAAAATGCGACGAGCTGAAATTACGCAAAATGCAGACAAGCAAACTTAAAGTACTCTGTACAACCTGGTTTACTGAACCAGCATGCTAAACCCAACATGCACAGTACAATATACATGTACATGTGATTTGCATCATGGCATGCTGTAAATTCTGAAACAAACAAGTTACCATGTACAATTTTCTGTAAGTGGTATTAAACTCTGAGATTTTTAAGCAGTAATGTAAAAGAAAGGAAATTGTGATCCTGCCTGTTGCCTTGTTTTCAGAAAGTACTTTTAATGACCTTTTAGTGACCTTTCCATTTTTTTAAATGTTGTTCAATCTATAAATTTGCTGTACCTGGTCAAGATACATGTATAAGGATAGATTTCGAACAGAAGTTTTTAATTTGTTGAAAATGTCATTGTCAACTTGTAATATCCACATTATTTGACTATTAGAACTGAAGAAATCTTACAAAGCATGTAGTGCTCGATAAAGTGTCAGTGTTGCAACTTGCAACTTTGCCTGTGGCTGGAAGGCTGACGTTTTTTTTTTACTTTTTGCACCATTGTATTTCAATGTATTAACTTGTATCTGAAGTTAATTACAGTGTTTTACTTACATGTTTCTTGGCTTTGTTGCTGCTAGAGCAGAGGAAAGATCCAGCCTGCTTGTCTATCCTCAATTCACAGTTGTTTACAGACTGGGAAGAATGAAAGAATGAGGAATGTTAAGCAGTTTTCAGAAACAAACAAGTACCAACATTCTGCAGCCCAGGTTGATTTGCATGTTGGTTTAAAATCATTCTGTGTGACCTGGATTGACTTCTTCAGGTTTCTGTTTTCAGAATTGTAAACTGAAAAAAAATTGGGCAGCTAAATTGTACTGTGTGACTTCACTTCCAGATTTATGATTTATTTGAAATTCTAATAAATGTGCCGTAGTTTTATTGTATGAATCCTTTCCACCCAGAGTCAGCAGATCCAACCCCTGGCATTTTTTGTGTAGGATTTTTAATGGTTCTAGAACTGTAGCCATGATTTCTTTATGTGAGGCTTGTGTTCCAGTTTTGATGCAAAATATTAGGTTACTGCATTATGTTCGATTTTGGTTCATTTGTGTTTTGTTTTTGCCCAAAATTTGCGTAAAAAAAGTTTTATGTTGGGAGTTTAGTTAAAGACCAACTCCAACGATGTTACATTTTCTCATACTGATTCCTATTCAGAAGATCCAAGTCTATTAAAAGTGGCACATATCAGTATCTCCCTTGCAATACACTTTTTTATGTTAATAAACCACAGTTTTAGTACCCATTTTTCCTGCGAGTCCAGTCCGGTATTGTAAATATGGACGTGTCGTCATGACTCATTAACATCCAATGAATATTGAGTTTTCTGATGTACATGTACAGTATTACAGTGGAGAGAAATACCACAGTACGTGCGCTTAGTAGGCATGCATAGCAAACGTAGCCACGGACGACAGCACAAACTTGAGAATGCTCTCATCTTTGGAACTGGAAGAACTCCAATCCCAGTTCTCTTGCAGAATCCACCAATGACGCACAGTTTCAGCATTATTATAAATCATAAAGAAAGGAGCACAAACTCAATGGAAAAGAGACAATGCGGCACAGTAGGCCCGGCATACAGATCAATCCTTGGTATGCGGTGCACGCAACTGTACATGTAGCTCCATAATTACGTACATGTTCATGCACATTTGTTGCGGAACCAGTTGTGCCAGGGATACCAGTTCCAATGTTTCTCCAGTATTACATCATACAGATTTCGTTTCTCAACAGCGCCGGCAGTGGTCGGATTGTGGAAATTTTTCATAAAACTCAAAGACGACATTCAAAAGTTTCTGTAAAATTACAAAAAATACAGACACCGTACAGACCTGATTTGGTAATGAATAATATGATTTATTACACACTAAACACAGTTATTTTCAAAACTTTTAAAACCGTTGGTGTTGGTCTTTAAACAGAAAAAGAACCCTTGCAGCAAGACTTTTTTGTTCAAAATTTTATGTGGCAGCTGTTTAACCTAAATAAATATTCACCAGCACTTCTTACAAATTGTGAAATTGGGAAGCAATTGTGTAATCATAGAACGAGGACGGCGGGTGTAATCCATCTGCATCTCAGTATCAGTGGCAGCCACCCTAATGTCATCCGATCT